TTTCAGTGTAATTAATGAAGGGATTGATTATAACTGATATTGAGTGCTGTTAGATTTATGAGGGAAATTATCACTTCTGTTTTCGCCACACGGTGTAAGGGTTCTCTTCTAGAGGTACCTGAGAGCGTGACCTCAGTGCCCAAGAGACAACTGCTTGACGTCAACCACACACGACCTATTTTGTGAGTAATTTTCGCGTCAGCTCCGTACTTGTTGGGACCTTACAACTGTAGATGGAAAACCGTGGGATAAGGCGAGGTGTTTTTTTTAAGGTTGACCTTTTCTAAGCCCACCCTTCCTTTGTTGGGAAGGCAGCGTCGTTGATATGCTGGTAGTCTGAGGAAAACATTTTACTGCCGTCACACCTCTGTCGTCAGCAGTACGACTTTGGGCTTGCTGCTTTTAGACTTACCGCTCTTGAACCGACCTATTTGGCATGGCAGGACTTTGAAGAATGATTGTTTCAGCCAGTATAACTCGATTGGTTCATTACGATAGATGAGCCCGACCACCACGTCAATGTAGCAGCAATGATCGGGGTGTAATTACTTATAACATATAAAGTAGTATACAGGATATTTAGGATAAAATCATTTGTGAAAAAAAAGAAGATACAGCTCTTTTTGATAACTTTGATCATTCACCAGTAACTATAAATAACTTCATGATTCAATGAATCGATGATGGGCGAGACTATAATTTATGAACGAACCGGCCAGGTATAAGATAACAAATCATGAATTTTGGCGCAAAATTCATTCATCCATTTGGCTAAATAGCGTTTTGGCATTCCAACTGATGTCAGTTCATGATGAAAACCCTAAATCTAATTTCTAACCCTAACCATCGACTCTGTATATCGTAATTCTAATTCCTCACATTGGTTTATAACCCTCATTTGATCCTAGTTATTAAGTGAAAACTCTCAAGGTCACTTTAGCGTCGCGCAAATGTCGTCCATAAATTATAGTCTGACTCGACGATGATGCAACCAATGCTTAACTGTAACTGGTTTGCTTTAGTGATCCATAGATAAACTTCTTAATGAATATTAAAGGGTAAAAATCTACGGAATTTCCAGCAAAGTTAAATTTTGATAATGAGTTATTTAAAACAGACTTAAGACAATAAGTGATCACATCAAATGTGACACAATCTTTGTCAAACACTATGCGTACCAGTGGGAAATGATCGATCTTATGCAAGTTAGATTTCGATGTTAGGTGATTGAAGTTAGTCGACAGGAAACAATCCGTAACTTACTCGGTCAGAGAAGTTCACCTTCGATCTTGAGGGCAATGAAGCTCCCTGCGGTCACATTACAACCAGGATTGTGGAGGAAACATTACACGACACTGGTCACTTACCACACAGTGATCAATCAATGTAAATCGGATTTCAAATATCTTACATTACTGTTTCCACCATCTCGTTAAATGATTTCATACAGTTTACTTGTTTCATGTTCGTAATATGTATTCTATTCTGAAAAAAAAATTCTTTTCCAGGTTTTCTTAAGACCAGATAAAACAAATCTAATATTTCCATATCATACTAGTGCAATTTCAACAATCATATCTAAAAAGAAAGATGATAATGATAATTGGGAAACAAAACTAGTTACTGAAACTGTTAGCAGCACATCGACAACAACAACAAAATCACCGCAATTATCTATTATTCCTATGAAGAAGAATATAGCACAAGCAGATAACAGCAAATCAGTCAATAAGAAAGTTTCACCACCTCAACGACCGAATCCACCAAGATTATTTAACTTAACCGGGAAACCAGGTGATTTACCAGCTCCAGGATCTGTTCTAACTAGTGGTTTATCGGAATTAAGTAAAACACCAATGAATTCACCAAAACGTCCACAAACTACACCAAATTTAAACAGTGGTGTAAACAGTCCACGTTTGCAAACAATCGATAAAGCTGGTTCAACACATTAAAACATCATGGGATATATGTTAATAAACCATAGTTATTTACGGCTCGCCTGTGTGTAGCGGAATGATGAATTGATCAGATAAACGATAATTTCATTAGCTGTTATTAGTACCATTTTAATAAATTCAATTAATGTTTTATTATATTTTTTCGACTGTAGTATTAATTCATTAATTTAAGATTTCAAAATTCTTCATGATTTTCAATGGAACCATGAACTGATCTAGGTTAGATTACTACTAGATTGATAGAATTTAGACATTAAAACCGTTGGATACCAACTCAGTGGTCTAGAGGTTAGGCGTTCGCGTATGAGATCAAAATTCCTGGGTTCAATTCCCGCGTGAGGGGTCTTGGATGAGCACTGCTGGAGAGTTACATACTAGGACGGTACAGGTTTCCAGTTCTCCTAGGTTTTTAATGGTGGTCTAAATTATATCAGTTAATGATTTCAATGAAACTCAACTATCTCCACAAACCTTTATGAGAAATTCTCAGTGATTCTTTATGATATTACCTTGTCTTTGGTACGGTTGGTTTGACCTCATTCGGTGCTATGGTAAAATCTCGAATAGATGGACCGATATGCGAACGCTCACTAACTACGTGAAAGTTCTTTGATCTGAACCTCATTTAAAAGAGGAAGAAAAAGATAGTCAATTTGGCCTCTGTATATATGACTATAAAACTTCCCATGATTAAATACATGAATTACCGGGGCATAATAAATATTTAAAAGATTACAATATATGCATTTAGGGTAGGTAATCTAAGTAATAGGCATGTACTTACTTTGTAACAAGTTCAGAAATCAAAACAATACCACAACAGCTGAGTCAAATGGAAGTTTCATATTTTATGACCGCTGACCAACATCACGTGAAAAGTAACTAATCAGAATCCCGACTCCAATTTGGTTTATTTAGTATCAATTATTTACTCTATGACTGAGTGACTATGAGTTAGTCGACCAATTACATATCTGACCAACACTATTAACTTTAAGTTGACACCTAGGTTCCTATCGGTTCACAATTCTTTAACATCTCTCTTTGCCCTGACAGCCTATACCATATTTTATTTCAAAAAGACGTAGTTTATATACAGATATAACCGCCCAGTTTGCACCATAAAATAGAAAATAACAATTATACAAGAACAAGCCAAAAATGGTTGCGAATAGGGGAAACTGTAAATTATAGACTTGCAACAAAATAGAAACAGTTTAACGGTCAACCGGAAGCTTATGATAAGTTGAATATATAGACAAGGTAATCTAGTTACTTAATAATTATACCATAAAAATATACGTAACAATAATCATCCATATCGTAGTTCTGTAGGTTGCCGTTCCCTAAATCTTCGTCCTGATATGACATAAAGCTTGTAATTAGAAGAATAAAAACACACAAATTGAGTATCAGTAGATAGACATTAAATGAATATGAATGCTGATGTTTTGAATTATAACACTGAACGTTTTTCATTCTCTCTTAATGATCTTGTACCAAACGTTTAGTCTCTATGGTGTACAAGATGATAGTCGAGGGGTAAGGACAGTCAACTCTCCCTCTCCAAATGCTCTCACATGGTCATGCGTATACAGCCACTGTCAGAGAAGTCCTACTCACTGCCTTCTCGAACCACGGGTGTTGTTTAAGAAATTGAGAGGACGAAGTGCGAATGTCCGGTGCTTTAACTGGATTGGTGGACACGGAGAGTTCACATAGGGAAGTTGGAAAACCCTCATCCCAAACGAATGGTGCACATGGGCTCCAGTATCCTGAAGGAACAAATGGCGTACAAAACAATTATTGGATACCAACTAACATGAGACTGCATCTCCTGACGTTGCTCCACTGCCTTGTGGATTAGACCTTTGGGTCAAAGGCTCTAAGTGTGACTCCCGAAGAAAACCATTTGCATCGGTTAGGGCACCCTGTCAGTATCACAGCCCACACACAAATCAAGTGACTTGTGTAGTGCATATGTATTTGGTGCCCCTTCGTATCAATATTTATGTGTTCAAATAAATAAATAAGTGTGTTACGGAATATCCTCAAAGTTATCCCTATGCTTCGTACATTGATATCCTTGATAACCATTAATACTATACTTTCCAATGATGTACAATGTCCAAAAAATAAAACGAAATTGTTGTAACAGTTTATTTCTGTACAGCATCAACTGATATTTAAACAATAAAGAGAAATATATATGTAGGCTGTCAAATGTGCTCAATCATGCATGTTCATACAAGCAGGGAAATATGTATGTGTTGACGATATAAAAACATTATTAGGTAGTTGAATAATAGCTTCGATAGTAAAATATAAGATGTGCATTTCGTCCTAGTTAGGATTCATCAGTTGTCAACCACTATCCAACTCTTCCTAGCATACTTTTCACTTAATGACAATATCGAAGTAAATTGCACAAGATACAAATTATATCATCAAATGAGATTAATCAATAGCAGTCCTTAACATGAACAACGGGAAGATTTAAGCACTTTTACAAATCAATTCATATTTGAATTAGTTCCCTAGAAGGGAAGAATTTATGGAAATGTGATAAATGTTTCAATCAACCCGAATAATACTGAACATAAATAATTCGTAAAATAGTCAGTGATTAAAACAACACTGACCCTATTCACATCCATTAGTAGCAGAGAACAAATGACTGAAGATAAGATAACACAACTCACCAAGTACGAATTTATATTACTCAGTTTTAATTCACACAATTTATGTGTAATGCTACACTAGCTATCTGTACCAAAGTAGATGCAGCGTATTAGGGAATGATGGTAAATCAGTTGATGAGGTTGTAAATCTTCATCAACTGAGATGGTTGGGCCACGTGTTACGTATGCGTGAACACCGATTACCACGACGTACAATGCTAACCGGTGTTGGAGATGGTTGGAAGAAAGTTAGGAGTGGCCAAACCAAAACGTGACATCAGTCCAAAAAGTCACTAACTTCTAACCCTAACCATGTTGGTAGATGCAGACTACTTGGTTGGGGTCCGCGTGACTATCGTAACCAATGGTTGGAGACTCTTGGCGACATGGCTCAGAATCGAACACAATGACGTAGGTGTATACACTCTTTGTTTTCCTTTAAACTATGAGATTACAATCGTTTCATATCTTTCTACGTAACCCTTTATTCCTGTACTATATATTTATACACAACATTCCTTATATATATTACCACCATTGAATTAACTACTTCTATGAATCCGATGTTCATCTTGCTGTGCTGATGTGTTATGGCAACTTGGAACGATGCAAATATGTGCGTGGTCCTACGTTCTAGCTGACTGACTGACTGAGGCTGAAGTGGGGGGCTCGAACTTGTGACCTAACACATTTGACAGATAAACGACTCAACATTAAATTCACTTCTTCTGCTTCTTCAGACAGAAAGAAAGATCACAAATGATTTGTTTTTATTATTAGAAATTTGAATTTGACCCCGTTAAAAAAGGAATATGGAAATGAATAAGTTAAAACAAACAAGTCAAGTTATTTGTTCAATGATCAAGTTGAATAGAACAAAGATAGACAGATAGATATGTACGATCATTGACATGAATTTTATAAAAAAAACTAAAAGAAACACAAAAACAAATACAAAGATCCTCTATATGATGATGATGATGATGATGAAAGAACTCAACGAGTGTATTTTACATTAACACTATTCAACTTGTGTTTTTTTTAATGAAAGGAACATTGAAACGTTTATCTATACAAAACAAAATAGAGAGTTATGTATCAAAATGTCTTATTCAGGGAATGTACAAAGTAGTAAACAAGAACTTTGTAAGAATACAAATATCATCATTGAATTAGTTCCTGACTAATGACAGTTTATAGATATAATGAAATGTGAGTATATTACATATTCACTTACTTACTTACATACATACAACGGTTACCCCTCGTGGAAGAGTATACACCGTCAGCCAACAACATTCTTCATCGAGTATAAATATTCACATATTATTATTAATATTATTTAATCGATATTTTTCTTTATCCCAATAATCAATATAAATCAATTGTTTCTTATATTCATAATTGATTCTAAAGGATATTGATCAGAGAGAATTTCATTTGTTTTAATAAATGCTTGTTTAATATATGATACAATATTATCAGAATGTACTGATCGTGCAGCATTTGCTTGAGAGAATGGTTCTAGATTGGTGATTATTTTATTTTTTTGGAGGGGGGGGGGGTGAAAGGAAAAAAACGGTGGTAATAAAATCTAGAAATTTACTTACTAAAAAAAACATGAATTACTTTTAATAGCTGAGATGATGAGTCAATTGAAGCTAGACCATTATAGAAAACTTGGAAGCACTGGACGGCTGTTTCGCCCTAGTGTGGGACTCTTCAATAGTGTGCAACCACGATCCTGCCTCGCGAGATTCGAATCCAGGTCCTATCAGTCTTACGCGCGATCACTTACCCTATGGACCACTGAGCTGGCTGGCATCCGACGGTGTTAATGTCTAACTTCAATTAATTCACGAAGTTAGGCGACAGTCTACCATTGTCTTCAGTGAGTTGCTATCTCACAACAGACCTGGTTAAATCCCACTGGTCATGGATTTTCACTAGAACCCCAGGAAATACCTATTGAAGCATATGATGATTATAATCAGAGAGGGGTTTTGTGGATATTATAGTAAATTTGAGAGTTTAGATCATGAGGGAGGATTATGGATGCGCACTGCTGAGGAGTCCCACAGTATGACGAAACGGCCGTTCAGTGCTTCCGAGTTTTCGATTGTGGTCTAACATTGACCAGTTCATAATTTCAATGGAATAAGGGAATAATTGATTCACCAATGGTTAATTTAATCAACATATACAAGGAAAAAGAATACTAATCACTCATAAGCAGTCTAATATGGGAATTTAGCACAAACTACTTCATCAATTATTATTCATCCAGTTGATTGTCTACAATCCATACAGTACAACAATTATTCAAGTCAAAATGACACTAACAGTTGGATGATATGGGTTACTGCCTTTATAAAAAGGAAAAAAGATTTCGTTTGCCTCATAATCATCAGTATAAACAATTAACGCTTTTAATAAAGTTTTAGGGTAACTACTCATTTATCAGGTATATATTAATGTGGTCGAGTTCGAATCTGCTTGTTTACATGTGATAGCTGATGACAATAACCGGTAAACTCAAATTGAATTATATAGCGAGCATTTCGGATGTAAGACTTAATATAGTTAAAAAATCAAGTAGTTTAATGGTCACTGTGTTATTGATAAAATAAACCATTAGTCTTTCGAATAAGTCGATAATCGGACGAAATAATACAACTGCTCTTTTAACGGACAATCTAATCAAAGGGCCCAAATCTGGTTATCTCGAAGCTATGATAATTTGTAGCTAAAAGCAACTTGAATAAAAACATTCGTTAAGTTTTTAAAAAAAGATAGGTAAGATATACGTTTTTTGTTTCAGTCAGTCGGTCAGCTACAACGTAGGACCAGGCAAATATATACATCGGTCCAAGTTGCCATACCTTATTAGCACAACAAGATGAATACCAAATTCATAGAAATAGTTACTTGAATGATAGTAATGTATAAAAGAAAAACTGTGTATAAGGATATAGTACAGAAAGAAAGAATTAGTTCGTAGAAATAATTATTTATTATTTATTTATTTGAACACATAAATATTGGTACAAGAGAGCGCCAATATATATGCGCCACACAAAACAATGGGAATTCGAAGAGAAGTAGAAAGAAAAAAAAAACTAAGGAACGCAAAAGAAAAAGAGAGTAATGACGAAGAGGTACAATCAGAAGAAATCTTTCAGGTAAAGGAGACACAATCACTTTTTATGAAGAAAGTAAAAGAAGGTTACAGCAGGATCGCCACTGGCTTCTATTCTGAGCCATATCTGATAACGTCTCTAGCCACTGTGTAGCACCATCTCTCGGACCCCAGCCAGGGAGTCGTGAAGGACCAACACAAGCCAGTCCTTTGCAGCTTTCTTTCATGCCACGACACCATGTCATACACTGACAACATCTCCGCTTTTTCCAACCAGTCCCAGAGTCGGCAAATAATGCACGACGTGGAATTCTCTGGGACGACATTCGTAGAACGTGTCCAAGCCACCGAAGTCGGTGTTTCAAGATGGTGACACCAATTGAGTTATCATCTCTGTGCCCGAACACACGATGCCGAACCTCTGCATTACTGACATGGTGTTGCCACTGAATGTCAGCAATCCTTCGGAGACAGCGATGATCGAACACAGAGAGTCGTCTAACGTCCTCAACTCGGAAAGGCCAGGTTTCACAAGCATAGAGCAAAACTGCTCTCACCGACGCGTTGTAGATCCGGCCTTTTACAGCCAGACTAACATCACGAAGGCGCCAAAGGTGGCCCAGATTGGCATAAGCCGCTCTGGCTTTCACTATTCGTGCATTGATCTCATCACTCACACCCCCACCAGCACTTATGCAGCTACCCAGATACACGAACTTCTCAACTACGTCTATCTGCTCACCATCCAGGGTGAGTACAGGATTAGAATCCTGCCAGTCTTGTAGAAGTACTTTGCACTTCAAAGGTGCAAAGCACATACCATACCTACGGACACTGATTGCCAACTGATTAAGTGCGGATTGCATGCCTTGGGCATTATCGCACAGTAAGACAATATCGTCCGCATACTCAAGGTCGAGAAGTCTTTCTCCAGGCAACAGATCCACACCACCATTACTTACATTCATCAGAGCTGTTTCCAGAATGTCATCGATGGCAAAGTTGAAGAGGAATGGTGAGATTGGGCAACCCTGCCTAACCCCACTGCTCGAATGGAACAATGGAGAGAGGTGGTTGTATGCCCTCACTCTGCCTGAGGTGTTTTTATACAGGGCTTTTAGGATGTTAATAAACTTCTCAGGCACACCCTTCTTCAATAGACAATCCCAGAGAACAGTCCTATCCAACGAATCGAAGGCAGCCCTGATGTCAAGAAACACTACGATTGTTGGCCTTTGAAAAGTATGGCGGTGTTCTAACATTTGGCGGAGGGTGAAGATATGATCAATACATCCTCGACCAGAACGAAACCCAGCCTGCTCCTCGCGAGTCAATCTTTCTCGGGTTTTGAACAACCTACGAAGAATGACGGAAGCCAATAGCTTGGACGCAATCGGAAGTAAACTTATCCCCCGATAGTTGTTACAAGAACGACGTGAACCCATTTTAAAGATAGGGACAACTATCGACTCATTCCATGACGTTGGTACACTCTCTAGTTCCCAAACCTTTGTAAACAACGTCGTCAATTCCTTAGTCAAAAAGTCACCACCATCTTTAAAAAGAGCCGGAGGTAAGTCATCTGGGCCAGGTGATTTGTAACGCTTCAAGAGTTGGAGTTCCTTGCGGACTTCCTCCTCATTTGGTGGATCAGTCGTCACCGGCCATGGAGGGCAGGACAGTCTGACCGATGTTACCGGAGCAGCAGGCCAGTTGAACTGCCCTTCGAAAAATTCTGCCCATCGTCCAAGACGTCGATGGATGTTAGTGATTGGCATCCCATCATCCTCGCAGATTGTTTCACTCACACCAGACTTCTTGCTGCCAGTGGCTCGGATGAGTTGGAAGAGCTTCCGGTAGTTACCAGATGCAGCTGCTGCTTCCAGCTCATTAGCACGCATCGACCACCAGGCTTCTCGGTCCTTACGCAAGCTTTGCCCGATTTCCTTACGTAAAATCCTTCGTTTATGGTCAAACTCACGGTTACCCGGAGTAGACCGACGGGCTTCAATGAGTTGTAAGGAACCAGAAGAAACCCAGTGCTTAAAAGCGGGACGTTTCGCAAACCCACAACTGACTGTTCCCGCCATTTTCATGGCGTCATGCAATTGCAACCAATGCTCGTCTATACTTTTCGGTGGAGTGGTAGCTAGCCTAGAGGCTAGCTCGGTTCGATACTTACTTGCAACAGAAGTTGCAACCAGCTTGCTAACATCAATCCGTTGATGGCGTTCACTTCGTTGTCCACTGAAAAGTAAGGCAAGATTGGCGCAGACCAAGGCATGGTCAGAGTCCAGATAGGTACTCCAAAAGGAGCGGCAGTCTTGTACACAACCACGCCAGCGGTAGCTGATCGCGATGTGATCAATCTGAGTCCAGGCTTGAGATGCAGAGGGAGGACGCCAGGTGGCACATCGGCGATGACTGTGCCGAAAGTTAGTGCTAGCCAGAAATAAAGGTATAAAGCAACTTTAATCTCACGATTTAAGAGAAGACAAAGAGCGTATATACCTACGTCATTGTGATCGATCCTAAGCCATGTCATTCAGAGTCTCCAACCATTGGTTACGATAGTCATATGGACCCCAAACCAAGTAGTCTACATCTACCAATATGCCTTTGTTATTATTTAGTCATGAGATGAATTAAATTCAATCAAAATGAATAATACACATAGTATGGATCATAATCAATACAGAAGAACCATTTACCTTCAATGAAAATTTTACAATTTCGTACAATATAACCTTGTTCATAGGATGGTAAATGTTTCATAGCTATATGTTTCATTAATGGTGTTTTATGACGAATTGTAATAGCCCATTTATTAAAATCAAATTGATTTGTATAATAATAAATAAATCCAGTAAATAATTCAGCTAAACTACTAGAATTATTTGATTGTAATTCATTCCATGGAAGTTCAATATTCATATCTAATTCATATGGTTCCATGGTGTAATTAAATAAATTCTATGAAGAAAATAAAAAACAAACAGAGAAGGAAATTATAATAAATGATTACGGAAGACTAAATAAGAATAACTAGGATGATTCAGAATCAATAGCCCGCAAATGCTCTGGTACGGCCAAGAGTGGAGAGAGTCCGCTCTCCCTCTCCAAATGCTCTCACATGGCCACGCGTATATAGCCTCTGACAGGGAAGTCCTACTCACTGCCTTCTCGTGGCGGGGGTGTTGTTTACGAAAATGAGAGGACAAAAACCGAATGTCCAAACCAATAGTGCACATGGGCGCCAGTATCCTGAGGGAACAAATGGCGTATGAACCAATTGTTGGTCACCGGCTTCCATGAGACTGCATCTCCTTACGATGCTCCACTGCCTTGTGGATTAGACCTTCAGGTCGAAGGCCCCGGTTGCGGCTCCCTAATTAAACCACCTGCTTCGGTTTGGGCACCCGGGCAGTATCACAGCCCTCACACATATCGAATGAGATTTGTGTGGCGCATATGTATTTGGTGCCCCTTTGTACTAACATCTATGTGTTCAAATAAATAATACGATTTAACATGACCATGTCTTATTTACTTCGAACCAAGCTACTTAGAATAAATGAATTGTGATTAGCTATAGAATCTAGTATAAGTTTCGTCTTAAATAGGACTCATCAGTTGGACAGACCTGAATTCCAATGTCGATGATCACATCGGCACTAAAATTCAGTGTATCTTTTGCGTCAAATACCTCACTTATTATCTAATGAGTTATTGGGCTCAAATAGCCATTAACTTGTTTAATGGATATAATATTTACATTATTATTAGTAGTAAGTGTTTAAATTATCCAGTTGTTGACTGAATTTCGACCGATTTTTCTGGTATTTGATTCAAGTTGTTTATAAAAGGATAGAATCATTGATCGCTGATCAGGGCAACTGAAATAACAATACACTTGAGAAAAAGACAAATGTCAGTTAATCGTAAATGTGTCGAGTATATATCGCAGGCTAATGATGAATATACGGATTCTAAATAGCCTAATTAATGATCGATTGCACGTGAGCAAGTTGAATAGTTTCAACAGATGTTTTAAAGCTTTACTGGTGATGGTATTCAACTTAATGCAATGATTGAAATTACAAAGAAGAGACAGTCCAGAATATTTCCGACATAATCATATTCTCATTCCCGTTTCCACTGTTATAACTAGAAAACTAGCTCCGGCGATACTGTTGTAACTGGGTAGCCAACTACTATATGTGAGACGTTGTCGCCGTTATTCATGCATCGACTCTTATCACTCCCCAGTCTTACTGCTTTTACTTGACAATCGAGAATTTCTGCAATTCCTACGACGCAAAGTGAGAACACAAAAGTCTAGTACAATGAAGGTTGAATTCACCATCCAAAAATATTTTTCTTTACACAAGTCCTAAAATCACATCCTCTTTAGACTAAAACATGATCGTTCATATAACTAATTTCACACAATTAATAGTATCACATACAGGTGAATACATACAGTTACTATAACAACACACATGAAATATAGTTCACCTGCATTAATGCAGTGAATGGAATTATCACAATGAACGAGAATTCATATAAAACAAAGTTTATACTGAATTGATACGAGAAAATATTGACCTAAATAACGTCATTTCAATGGAATTTTGTTATCTGAATTGAATGGTTTGGTCATGGAGTTTTCATTGTTCTCCTGAACGAAATCACAGTTCTTTTCCTGTAGACCTCGATGTTGAACCGCATGTGGAGAAATTCGAACACTTCACTTCTACCTAAAGTTTGTGCTGATGATGTCGTACAGAAACACAATGAAAGCTTCACGACCAAACCATCCAGCTCAGAGAACAAAACTCCATCAAAATCATACACTTGGGCTACAAATCTTCTCCATTATCTCAACGTCATCTCATTGTCATATTACCATGTCACATCAGTAAGACGACATAAAATGAACAAGACGAATAACAAAGAAGTTGAGATGAAAATTATTGCAGTTGTAATGATGATGATGATGAGGACCGAATACTGAAAAGATGGTTTGAAAAAAAAACAGAATGAAAAGAATACTGAAACTCAGCGTCAAAGATAATACAATGGATAAATGGATTGACGTCATATTGTGACCAATTTTGATGGATATCTGACGATTTCTCTTTAACCACTAATAGTAGTTATCATATGGTCTCCACAACTATGTAGTGTGGAACTATTAAGGTTTTAGTTAATACAGTCAATAAAATCATAGATCAAAACCCTATTTTGATATGGTTGCCCGCCCCTTAGCTTTTTCCTAACTGACGTCTACAGTAATAATACCACTAGAAGTATGTATTTTTTTAAGTCCGATGACACAAGATCGAGAACATACATATACAAACACATACTGGAAACTTTTCTTGCAAATTAGGTAGAATTGGTGGAATGCAAGCGGTTTGAAGATAATGAATAAGCATTAGAAGTAAACAATAGGTGGATAGACGACCACGTTGAGCATCATGAATATCCAAACATTGAGCCCAATGTTTAATGAAAATTCCCAATGGTCTAACACGCCAATCAACTAAATTTTTTTAAAGATAACAGAAACAAAGAAAATAGATTAGCCGATTAATGATTATTAGTATTAAGATTGTCGTATATTTTAACAGAGGTGAAAAAGGAAATTCAGTGATCCACAGTAAAGTCACAACACCAAGCACTCACCATTATCAATTATGTTTTAGTATGGCCTTTCATTTTGAAGCCAATTACATCAAACAGTGATAGTATCGACGGGCGACTCCTGTATCTAACTCTAATTAAATAGTTTGTTGATTGTTATCGAAATATACATGCCGCGAACCGTCGTATATAATCATCGACTTAAATCGCATTAGAGAATAAAGGAATATAAATAAGTCAAATACGAGAATGATATTTGAGTACGTATATTTCGTACACTCGTTGATCCAGACAGACGAATAAAGAAACGAAGTGAAGGAAGCAAATAGAAGAGAGCGAAGCAAAGCGAGACGAAATGACGCTCGGTGTAGAAGGCGAGTGAGCTAACCCTATTTAATTAAGCATCATTCAATATTTATATTCAGAAAAAAATAGGTTACAGACACATAATGAATAGGGTAAGCAATTAAAACACGTACGATCATATAAAAACATTCAGGATTGATAAGCGAATAGTTGACGAGGTCAAAATGTGGCTTGAAATGAATGTATAAACTGGTGTATCCAGAAGCTAGAATAGCCTATGTGGACTTGACATAGAATCAGCCACTACAATGTTTTGTGGGCGATGGAGTTTATGAACTTGGCATATCTAAATTATTTCAATCGTTGCAGACTTATAAGCTATTAGATTGGGACAAATAATTGGGAGAGATGAGACTTTTATAGCTATCCAACATAGAATGATTATACCTTTATAATGTAATAACCCTAATTGTAAGAATCCAATTGACCCAATAATTGTTGTGAATTCAATAATCAGCTTTATATCACTTGTCGTATAGTTATGCACACATGATCTCGTATTTGTGATGCGTTGTGGTCATGTAATTCATGTATATAGACCTTTGAGTTATGAGGAGAAGAAGGATGAATACAATAATAAGAAGTTTATCTATTTCCTGTGCTAGTCCTCTGAATAACTACTGCGGTTAGAAAGAGTTTGTTCAATCGACAAGCACCAAAATTTCGTGATCCATAAGTTACTGATTAGGAGACCGTTGTAATACCAGATAACTTAAAGTAAATAACAGCAAAGAAAGTTGTGCCACTAATACAGAATATGTACAAATAAAACTATTCAATTACCAATGGATTACACATTTTGCAGTAGTTATACAGGCTTTCATTGTAATCATTTACACTATATGACCTGGTATTGTAATCACTAATACACAGAGACAGAGACCTGCAAGCATATTTGCCCTCGAGCTTATTACAACCTACTGTCCAACCAGAAAACGAGGTCAGCAAAGCAGATATCAATCTCTAGTCACTAGCTGACTCGATAATCAAGTAACCCAAACAAGCCGGAAAATGCAAGATATTATTGTATCCTCAAAGTTTTAATCACGAACCGACCTCAGTTAGACAAGTACTGAAATCCAAGAAGCACTGAACAGCTGTTTCGTTTAAGTAGGGAACTCAGCAGTGTGCATCCACAACTTAATATTCACGATTCTAAACCAGAACATTCGGTCTCGTGTGCGAATGCTTAATCATTAGACCACTGGGCCGGCATCTAACGATGTATATGTTCAACTTTAATCAAACCATGGTATTGTGTAACCATCATTCATTGCCTATGGTATCTACTGTCTCATACCCAGCAGTGTTGAGCTGTAGTGGTCACGGATTTTCACAACTCAAGTTTCATTAAATATGGACATTTTTTCAATACATTCTAGTGATATTGAAATGAATCGAGGTGATTGTCAGAAGGGCCATTCACAAAAAAAGTATATAACATGAAAACAGATGTGCACTGTGAAAATTTCAGTTTGTTCATTAGTAAAATTTAACAGCGAAAAAATCAATTCCATCTTACAAATAATGTCTGTATTGAATTCCTCTTATATTTTGCATACGTGGCTAATGAACATCCTCTCCATGGCCTGGTATGGCCGGCATGGAGAGTTAGCCCTTCCTCTCCAAATGCTCCTATGTGGCCACGCATATATAGCCTCACTGACTTCTCGTGCTGTAGGTGTTGCTTAGGAAATTAAGAAGATGAAAAGAGAATGTCCGGTTGGAGTTTAAATTGGTTTGTTGGGTACGGAGCATCTGAACAGAGGGGAATTGGAGAACCCTGATTGCAAACAAATAGTGAACATGGGCTCCAGCATCCCAAAGGGAAAAAGTGGTTTATGAACCCATTCATGGTCACCAGCTACCACGAGACCATATTCCTTAATGTTGATCCACTGTTTAGTGAACTCAACCTCTGGTTCAAAGACTGAGAGTGGCGCTCTCTAAGAAAACCACCTGCTTCGGTTTGGTTACCCGGGTAATATATCCCACTCAAATGTAAATTCAGTGATTTGCGTGGTGTATGTATATTTTTAGTGCCTCGTTGTGCCAATAGTTTGAAATTATTTTATGGTTAGCATTTTTTAGCGAGTTAGTTTTCTGCGGGATCAAAAGCAACCTACTGTGGGAGAGAACAAACCAGATTCCAGCGGAAGAATAAATCATGAAGAAGCTCTGGAAGTGGACAGAACACACATGGAGGAACACACCCGATCGCAACACAACGCAAGCCCTTACTTCAGTCAGTAACAACGTAGAACTTCGTACGTACGTACATCAGTTCGAGTTGCCACACCACGTTAGCACATAGATGCAGTGGTCGATTCAAATCCCGTAGTGATAGAGGCGGTAAAAGTAGAACCAGTAATCGGAAAGATTAGGGTTTGAAAATGTTATTCAAGGAGTATAATCCAGTGAAATAAATTTGGAAAGAGAAAAGAGCGGGACATGAAGAATTCAGAAGACTAGAATTTGGGAGAACACAGAGAGTGGATGCACCTGCGCCATTGCAAACGATTTTGAGCCATGTCATTCAAGGTCTCTAACCATCGGTTGCTATCATCTCGCGGTCCCCAACCAGGTAGTCTATACCTACCAACATGACTCAGTTCACTTGTCAGTGACTTCGTGGACTTGTGCCATGTTTTGGTTTGGCCGCCTCTACCTTTCTTCCAACCTACTTCTATACCGCTGAACATCGCACGTCGAGGCAGTCGGTCGTTGGGCATACGTAACACGTGTCCCAGCCATCTCAACTGATGAAGTTTCACCACTTCATCAACTGATTTCCCATCCTTACCTAGTACCCGTTTCCTGACAACTGTGTTACTTACTCGATGGTCCCATGATATACGAGCAATGTTTCGAAGACACCTATGATCAAATACTAGTAGCCTACGGATATCCTGTACTCTTACCGGCCATGTTTCACTGCCATAAAGTAGGACGGAACGAACTGCTGCGCAGTAAACACGTCCTTTGGTTGATAGACGGATATCTCGCCTACGCCATAAATGACGCAAGTTGGTAAAAGCTAGTCGAGCCTTCTGTATCCGTGCTGAGATTTCGTCACACACCAGATCACAAGGGCTGATCAGACTTCCAAGATAAGTGAAGCGGTCGACACACTCAACTACTTCACTCCCTATCACTAGTTCGGGTGTCGATGTAACCCAATCCTGAAGCAACATTTTGCATTTCGAGGGAGAGAATCGCATCACGAACATGCTTGCATTGTTGCTTAGAGTGGTCAGAAGACTCTGCATTTTGTCAGCGTCTTCACCAAATAAAACTGTCATCTGCATATTCTAAGTCAACAAGTGAACCTCCCGGTACAAGTTCAACCCCTGGAAATTTAGATGAGGAGAGTGTTATCTCTAAAAGTACGTCGACCACAAAGTTGAACAAGAATGGGGAGAGTGGACAGCCCTGACGAACACCACGTGAGGCCTTACTTGGAATCCTCAAGAACAAAAAAGAATAGGAAGATCAAAGAACACAATATGCCGAGAAATGGAGACAGATATGAGAAGAATGAACAACAATTGGATAGAACTAGAAAGGAAGGCTCAAGACAAAATGGGTTGAAGAATACTGGTAGTGAAACTTCATCAGTTGAGATGGCCGGGACACGTGTTACGTATGCCCAACGACCGACTGCCTCGACGTGCGATGTTCAGCGGTATAGAAGTAGGTTGGAAGAAAGCTAGGGGAGGCCAGAGCAAAACATGGCACAAGTCCACGAAGTCACTGACAAGTGAACTGAGTCATGTTGGTAGGTATAGACTACCTGGTTGGGGACCGCGAGATGATAGCAACCGATGGTTAGAGACCTTGAATGACATGGCTCAAAATCGTTTGCAATGGAGCAGGTGCATCCACTCTCTGTGTTCTCCCAAGTTCTAATCTTCTGAATTCTTCATGTCCCGCTCTTTTCTCTTTCCAAATTTATTTCACTGGATTATACTCCTTGAATAACATTTTCAAACCCTAATCTTTCCGATTACTGGTTCTACTTTTACCGCCTCTATCACTACGGGATTTGAATCGACCACTGCATCTATGTGCTAACGTGGTGTGGCAACTCGAACTGATGTACGTACGTACGAAGTTCTACGTTGTTACTGACTGACTGACTACTGGTAGGCAGCCTATGCTCCATTGGGCCTAAGTAAGTAAAAACTTGTTACACCAATGTTTATGTGTTTAACTAAACAAAACAAAAAGTAGAAATATCAACATTGAAATTTTACTCACTTTTTGCATACATAGCTAATAAATATGTATTATATAATCCATTTACATTATTTACATTTAAATCACAATCAATACCGGTATATCTATCACGAAATTTGATAATTGGGACTTTAGCACGAATTAAGGTGAATTTATAAAGGAAACCTACGGAAATATAGAATGATGGCAAAAAAGAAATAAAAAATAAAAAAATATTACAGGAACAAAGTTGACAAGAAATCAAACGTACATGGGGTGGGGGCATTAAAAACATTACCCTGTTTCAGTTATCAGAAATTATTTTTATTTATTTATTTTAACACATAGATATTGGTGCAAGGAGTCACCAAATACATATGCGCCACACAAATCTCATTTGAAGTGTGTGAGGGCTGTGATACTGCCCGGGTGCCCAAACCGAAGCAGGTGGTTTAATTAGGGAGCCACAACCGGGGCCTTCGACCTGAAGGTCTAATCCACAAGGCAGTGGAGCATCGTAAGGAGATGCAGTCCCATGGAAGCCGGTGACCAACAATTGGTTCATACGCCATTTGGTCCCGCAGGATACTGGAGCCAATGTGCACCATTGGTTTGGAATCTTGTTAAAGCGCCGGACATTCGGTTTTCGTCCTCTCATTTTCGTAAACAACACCCCCGCCACGAGAAGGCAGTGGGTAGGACTTCCCTGTCAGAGGCTATATACGCGTGGCCATGTGAGAGCATTTGGAGAGGGAGAGCGGACTCTCCCCACTCTTGGCCGTACCAGGGCAAGGAAACCATACCAATAGTCTAGAAATAAGAAATAATAATAATGATGGAATCGATCAATCAGAATGTAGTTAGTTAGCAAGTGTTTGATTTAAGTGAGATTATTTTCTAAATGGTTTCGTATGGTTAACCTACTTATCTGATGCATTTTTTAGCGAGTTAGGAAGCAGTGCTGGAAGTGGATAGGACAACATTGAGGAAACAACCCAACTGTGTCACAAGGTAAGTCCTCACTTAGAATCCTTAAGACCAAATGAAAAGAGGGAGACCAAAGGACACAATACGTTGAGAAATAAAGATAGACATGAAAAGAATGAACAAAAATTGGATATAACTAGAAAGGAAGGCCCAGAACAAAATGGGTTGAAGAATACTGGATGGCGACCTATGCTCCATTGGGAGTAACAGGCGTAAGTAAAGTAAGTACTTAGCTGATATTAGAAGTTTGATAAAATTCCTCATTCCTGTTAATTTTGGTGATAATATGATTGTGGAACATGCATAGTATGTGAGACTATTGAAAAAAAGTCATCTTATGTAAGCTGGTGTTAGGAAATGGTATGCAGAGAAGATATATGATTCTGAGATATGATCACTTTAAGAGTATTAGGGTTGAGAGTTTTAAAACGTTAAGAGTGTCAAGTTTGTGATGGTTTAGGTAAGAGATTCAAGATGAGTTAAAATAGAGAGTCACTTTACTTTACTTACGCCTGTTACCCCTCATGGAGGAGCATAGGCTGTCCACCTGAGTTCTCCATTTAACTCTGTTCTGGGCAGTCCTTTCCAGTTCCTATTCTTCCTTTTCATGTCTGCTTCCAATTCTCGACGCAGTATGTTCGTTGGCCTTCCTCTTTTCCGTTTCCCTTCAGGATTCCAATTGGGCGCTTGCCTCATAATGCAGTTTGGTGATTTCTGCAATGTATGTCCTATCTACTTCCAACGTCTTTTCCTAATTTCCTCTTCAACTGGAAGCTGAATTGTCCTCTCCCACAATAAGATGTTGTTGATGGTATCCGGCCAATGGATATTGAGTATCTTGAGTAGACAAGTGTTTATAAATACTTGTACTTTCTTGATGATGGTTGTACTAGTGCTCCATGTTTCAACTCCGTACAGTAAAGCTGTCTTGATGTTCATACGGAAGATTGAGACTCTGATATTTATTGACAGTTGTTTTTAAGTTCCATATGTTCCTTAATTGTAGAAATGCGGCCCTTGCTTTGCCAATCCTCGCCTCTACGTCTGCATCCGATCCCCCTTGTACGTCGATTATGCTGACCAGGTACGTGAAAGTCCCCACATCATCCAAAGCTTCTCCATCAAGTGTGATTGGGTTGAAAATCGAGAGTTACCATTCAGATATGTGATTTAACTTACGGGACTTTTTTACTCACAAAACCATCTTTAACTCACATCAGCCTCGCTCAGATACGATCTACAATACCAGGAGGATGTTTTAGCCTACTCACAACATCATATCCAATGTGTGATTGCATAAAAGATATTTTCGTCAATTTTGAACATTTCAGCAACTTCATATCAACGAGTTTTGCTTAGTTTTTTTTGTAAAAAAGAAATACACTATCCTTTACTGAACGTTAGATTTTCTACAGGAAAATCTATTGGGACAAAAGCAATCAGACAGTGTTCTATTGTCTAATCCGCTTTATGCTCATAGTGTGATGTGTGCTACTGATGTCAACAGATATAAGTAGTATGTATCATTAATAGAAAGTGAAATGTCTGGTGGCAGAAGGTTAAGGAAAGAGAATGAGAACAGAGAATGATTGGTGTGGAGTTGAAAGAACAATGAATTCTGATACAATTGACTGATATTTTGTAGATGAAGGATTTACTGTATGGTTCTTAGATTTTACCAAGAGATTCTGTAATTTTGTGTTTAAATACATTCGATTGTCCCTATTTGTGTTCTCGTTCACTACAATAGGACCGATGACATATTTTACCGATGAACAATGACAGAAACTTAAACGTCTATTAGTCTATGAGTTATTTAAAATTCAATATCTAATCGAGAGATTAAACTAGCAATTAAATAAAATCTGTATTTTTTATTTGAGATCATGAATTGATTGATGTTAGACCACCATTGAAAGCCTGGAGGGACTGGACGACCGTTTCGTCGTATTGTGGGACTTCTCAGCAGTGCACATTCACGATCCCACTCTCGGGATTGGAACCCAGGGCCTTCGATCTCGCGCGCGAACGCGAACTTCAGTACAATGGAAGATGGTCGCGCAATTTCGTGTATTGGTCGAGGTTAGACATTAACAATGTTGGATGCCGGCCAGATCAGTGATCTAGAGGTTAAGCGTTCGCGTGCGAGACCGAAAGCCCTTGGGGTTCGAATCCCGCGAGTGGGATCGTGGGTGCGCGCTGCTGAGAAGTCTCACAGTAAGACGAAACGGCCGTCCAGTGCCTCCAGGTTTTCAATGGTGGTCTAACATCAATTGGTTGATGATCTCGATCAAAAATATGATAATTTCCACAACCCTAAACTGATAAATATCTATATTGTATATCCGTTCCATTACATAACTCATACAGTAATATAGTGTGAATTCCTGGTCACAGAGTAGTATCAATAGGGAATTGCATTTCTGATTATAATTACAGCACAAATAAAAAGGAAACTAAACAATAGGTTAGTTCATAGTAGTGTGAGAAAGATGAAATATACAATAGTGAGTTATGCGTCAAACGAAAGATTGCAATTAGAAGAACATTACAGTATCATAAACTACTTGTCTAATAGTTACACACACAAAAATACAACTAATGATTTGACAGCTTTAATTCTTCTTCAAGACTATCCTCAAAACAAATAATTTTGTTTCTGTGCGCTAAACACTTGACTAAGTTTCTCTTATAGTGTGATGGGACGAAGGTAAAGAGAAAAAGTGTGTATATTGTCTTTGTGTAGTCGGATTACGACAAACACTTCTTAAGAATCTATCAGCTTTTCTCTTCAATAGGGCATCTAGAAAGAAGATGGTGTTGTAATTTTCTTCTTCCATTTTGAAGGTGATTGCCTAGTGAACTCTATTAAACGTTTTTGGTAAACTCTAAGTCTCACGATTGTTTTTGTGACTATAAATGTATCATTCATGTAGTGAAAATAAAATTCTAGTTTGCCTATCACCCCTTTTAGAAGACCGTTTGCTAATTTTGCCAGAAAGAAATCAGCTACGACAGGACTTAATGGTGACCCCATAGCGATACCGTCGCATTGTCTGTAGAGTTCTTTATTAAACAATAAATATATATTCATAGTATATCTGAGTATTAATTACCTTAAAGAGGAAACTGGAATGTCAATCTCCATTTCTTGATTTTGTAACTCACTACATATGAAATCAACCATTTCTATGGAAAGTACGCTTCAAATAAAGATATATCAAGTATTATCATGAATTTCTTGTTCACCTTCAAAATTTTAATTCTCTCAGCAAATTCAAAACTATCTCAAACAGTCAGCTACAACGTAGGATCAGGCACATATATGCATCGGTCCAAGTTGCCATACCGCATTACCACAACGACATGAGCAACAAATTCATAGAAGTAGTTACTTCAATGGTAGTAATATACAAACCAAAGGTTGTGTATAAGGATATAGTACAGGAAGAAAGATTTAGTACGTAGAAATGAAGGTATAAAGCAAATTTAATCTCATTGTTCAAGGGAAGACAGAGAGTGTATACACCTACACCGTTGTGATCGATTCTGAACCACGTCACCAAGAGTCTACAACAATTGGTTACGATAGTCACGCGGACCCCAACCAAGTAGTCTGTATCTACCAACAACACGACTCAGACCAGAAGTTAGTGACTTCAAGGACTGATGCCACGTTTTGGTTTGGCCACTCCTAACTTCCAACAATCCCCAACACCGGTTAGCATTGTACGTCGTGGTAATCGGTGTTCAGGCATACGCAACACGTGGCCCAACTATCTCAGTCGATGAAGATTCACAACCTCATCAACTGATTTGCTATCATTCCTTAATAGCCTCCGTCTGATCTCACTATTACTTACCCGTTGATCCCAGATGATGCGAGCAATATCTTTTACACTGTGTTGTAGTGGCTTTTAGTAATAGCAGTAGTAGTAATAGTAATGGCACTATAATTAAAACTTACGACATTTTCTTAAAGATTGTAAAAGTCGACTTAATATAAACGTAGCTTCATTTTTCTGATGCAAATCGCGTGATGTTACAAGTAAACACATATCCATATCACTTTGATTTGAACCGAAACCATTTATTGAAGAGCCAACAATATACAGGCCAGCATCTATATATATTTTTTTAAAAACACACACAGAGGAGGGAGAAAGTGTACTGAATTAATATGAAATAATTTTTCACGTTCATAGAAAATTACCACTGAAAGTAGATAACTCCAAGACTATGTGCATCGGTCCAAGTTACCATACCACATTAGCACAAGATGAACACCGGATTCATAAAAGTAGTTAATTCAGTGGTGGCAATGTATAAAAAAGATTGTGTATAAGGATATAGTACAGGAATAAAGAATCAGTTTGTAGAAAGAAAGATATGAAGCGATTCTAATCTCACAGTTTAAAGGAAGATAGAGAGTGTATACACCTACACCGTTGTGATCGATTCTGAACCACGTCACCAAGAGTCTCCAACCATTACTTATGATAGTCATATGGATCCCAACCAACTAGTCTACATCTACCACCAACATGGCTCAGACCAGAAGTTAGTGACTTCAAGGACTGATGCCACGTTTTGGTTTGGCCACTCCTAACTTCCAACAATCCCCAACACCGGTTAGCATTGCGCGTTGTGGTAATCGATGTTCAGGCATACGCAGCGCGTGGCCCAGCCATCTCAGTTGATGAAGATTAACAACCTCACCAACTGATTTACCATCATTCACTAATACCCTGCGTCTAACCTTACTATTACTTATCCGGTGATCCCAGAAAACGCCAGCAATATTTCTAAGGCATCTGTGGTCAAATACTAGTAGCTTACAAATATCTTCTACTCTTAATGACCACGTTCCGTAGCCTTAAAGTAGAACAGAACGAACGGCCGAGCAGTATACTCTTCCTTTTATTGATAAACGGATATCTCGCCTTCGCCATAAGTGACGTAAGTTGGCAAAGGCAAACGAGCTTTTCGAATCCGTGTTGAGATTTCGTCAGACACCAACCCATTAGGGCTGATCAAACTCCCAAGATAAGTGGGGTTGTCAACTTGTTCGACTACTTCACTCCCCTAACAGCTGACTAGTGCTATTATTACTATCTTCAAGTATTTTCTAAATCCAGTTGCCATTAATGATAATATTGAAAAAACACATATGAAAGGCTGGAATTAAATCAACATTTAAATGTTTGGATTACCTATCAATGCAGTTAGACATTTTTATGTGATGTAAAAATGTTTCAAATGCTCTCTTGAAAACGTGAGAGGCAATAAAAACTCAAAACTCTAGACATCAATACAAAAGTCCCCTACAAAGGTCAAGGCTTAAAACAAAAAAACACTAAAACGATTTCTATGGATTAACTTTACTGGTGAATGAACATTTCGTCGGAGGTAGTTGGCAGGAAGCTGTGGATCAACATTTCATTGCATTGAAGAAACACATATGGCTTATTTACTAGGTACAGATTCGTTTAGTTGGAGTTATATTCTATATATAAAGGCTAATAATAGTACCGTTTTCCAAACCAGAGATTGAGTGGCTTCAGCCTATGAATTAGTGGCCGAAATTTTGATCCTTTAGTCCCTGAACAACTGTTTTTCACACTAGTAAAAAGAATCTTCAGCCGACGTTCCTCCTGGGATTTCAAACCGTGCACTAGGTACATTTCAAATAAGTTTAACAATTAAAGCACTAATTTCGTCAATAATTGATAACTTTTTATTCCAGAGTCCAGCACAAAGATACCTCTAACAGTGATAATATAAAAATTACCCGCTTATCATGTCAGTTATTTACCAAGCACATGTATGTGCAATCGGTGAAGAGGTTGGCGACACTGACAGCCTCCCCGTACGGAACATGATGGAATGAGGTTGGAATCATTAAACTAATGGTTGAAAGTCAATTGAGTGAATTAATTACGAACCGGTGCCTTATTGTATATAAAAAGAGCTGTAGAGAAAGTATCTGTAGATTACAACAATTTCATAACTAAACACATATTTACTATAAAGGAATTTCAGGAAATAATGTGTATAATTACTTCAATTACATCAATATATACCCCCGTTTACAAAGTCATCAATCTTTTTTTAGAAAAGTACTTATTTGCTAGATGAACAAAGTGGCTTAGTGGTTAGGCTTTACGAAGTTCAACCATTAAGTCTCTGTTTAGAACCCCACCTTGTATACTTCAATATTATTGTTAGCTTTTACAATTATAGCGTGGCTTATACTCAAGCATCCGGTGAACAAATTATTTAAATTAAGTCTAAGTTCTTGTGAATTAAGTTACATATAATAATTATAGATAAGAAAGGTACTCTTTTAAAATGGTTTTACTTACTTTCGAACACTCCTGATATAACCATATATAAAGCATTAAGTAGATGAACTTTCTTTTCATATTTTAAAGGACTTTGTCTTGAGCTACTATATAATTCCCAAATCCTTACTGACAAGTTTTCCATATACAATGAAGAGGACAATGTGGAACTAGTAGGAATAAATGATGAACTGATTATAAATGGCTTTGCATTTGGTTGAAATGATGCAACAGACAGTGGAGCTCCATCATGTACACATTTTCTATGAGTGATTATTTTCGATTCACTACCAAAAACTGGTAAATTTGATATGGGTAAGTTCACTGGTTTATTATTTTGAGTTTTACTAATTTTATTTTTCTTGAACATTACTAATCTGTAACAAACAACAGGAAAGTGAATATTTAATACTGTAGGGAATCATGTTTATATATGGACAAGATCACTCTAAATTATCACCGTACACTCATGCTATCATCACCAAACTACCTTTAAGTACAATATTAAGAGAAGCATGCAGTAGATATTACCTCGGCGAGACTAATTTATGGACGAGCCAATCAGAAGCGCTTTAGCGATTTCAAGGTTACAGCGCCAACTTCAATGCTTAATTCTTAATAGGTTCACAAGGAATTTTTTACAAAACGTAATAACTGAGCGTCTATGACATATAAAACTGCGAAACTATAGTTTGTGAATGAATCGATCAGGTATAAAATAACGGATTTTAACGCGAAAGCCTTTCATCCATTTGGTTAGACCCGAGCTCTCAATTTTGGGGAAGCCGCTATAGTAAACTTTGTGGAAATGGCACAAAAAACCCAAAATTTCATCAAAGTTGGGGGCTTGGGTTGGAGAGCGTGCAGACTCCTACATAAGCTTGGTTATGTGCGTCGTGTCGCTATCCACAAGTAACATTTTGTGTACTAGACAGCCGAAGTACACATAAACAAAATTGGAACTACGTAGTCGAGGCTTAAAGAGTTTTTGAGACCTTCATCTTTAAAAAGTGAGACGTTAGATCCAGTTAGTGGGTGTGTGGTAACTGCTGATAACACTTAACATTACACCACTTACTAGGGTAAAAACAGTCATCAGTAGGTGAGAAGTTAGAGTAGGAATATGGTTTATATATGACCATCGAGCAACGCTAGAATGACCTTGTGATGTCCGTCGACTTAACAGGGCTAAGTTAGGGTTATATATCAGTGCGAGGAATTTGGCTTAGGATTTACAGTTGAATTTCGGAGTTATTAACCAGATATATTATTTTCATCGCGAACTGACATCATTTGTAGTGCCAAAATGATATTTAGACAGATGAATGAATGAATGTCGCGCCAACATCCGAGATCTGTCATCCTAAATGTAATTGGTTCGTCCATAAATTACCGTCATGACATGAAGCTGATCATCCTGATTTCCAAGCTTAGATGAATTAGTTGGATGGTCTCGAGGTTTGGGCTAGGGAACAAGTTCCAGAAAGATTGCGCCAATGCACATAAAATACGGCAACATATACCAATATACTATCAACGGTACATCACTTCCACGCTTTCAGTAACGCAAAGACTTTGGGACAACGGTAGGCTATGACTTTAAAAACAACTGTGCACTTCAACTCAGCAGTCGCTGGATGTTCTCGAGCGACATGGTCGCTTCTATGAGCATTCAAATGCCCTGAGGAGGGAACGTTTCGTATTTTATACTTCACCTACGTAAAATACACCCATAGTACTGTGTGCAAGCACTCGTTCCATGTATGCAGACACTCGAGCGTGCTTACTGTATGGCAGTAAATTCCCTTATGATTAGCACTTAAAACCTCATATTCGTCTAGTTCTTTTTGGACTGTATGACAAGCAACTTTTGATAACTCGCATGAAACTTCTTAATAGCACATGTACTCATCTCATATATTGTTGACCTGTCGTTTTGTTTTTTAAATAGCATTTGCTTTAGCAAGATTAGTGAAGGGTCTTTCCAAACTCCTTTGTGATGAGCACTTGAAAGGTCTGAACCTTTTCCTCTTAGCTTAAAACGCGAGGTGACCTTATTCGGGCAACCAGTTTGTCTAATAACTACATAGGTGTTAATATGTCCTATCCTTCTTCTCTCTCGAGAACTAATCATCTCAGAGGACATGGTAAGTAAATTCAAAAACAACCAAATAGTAAACTCAGAGTGGGATTCCCTTTCTCTCATCAAGTGGTCTGTGAAAGGAACGCCTTACCCGAACATGTCACAGTCACATAAGTGAAGAAGAGCTGGGCATGTAGGGTGATCGAAATGCCATTTAGCCCTAGGTCAACCATCTTGCAATTGGGTGATTGAATATCGAACAGTCCATCGATCCCCTTCAAGGTCAAGGAAAACCAACGAGCATCAATCAATCTTATGCCGTGGGCTGACCCATGTGGTGGTAGTCACACTTTCGCTTGTACTTAACAACCTCCTTTGTGTTATACGATCTTTAAAGCAGCAATAGTACCTTAATACAACAAAGGTGTAAACCACGTTGGGTGTTGACCCCGAAGTGTGACCTCTCAGTTAGCTGTTGGGCACACCATTCCTGTCTAACTCAGGAAGGCCCCCAATCATTCGTCATAGATCAACCATGTTAGTAAGCTACAACTATTATAAACATACTTAACGGAGTTTCGAATTTTGGAGTAGTTCTTCTTAGTTTCATAATATTTTGGTGGTTTTACCGCAAGTCGTGTTGAAATTCGTCCATTTCACACGAATCTGGAGAGAGTTTTATGATAAAACCCAGTACATTATGAATGTAGATGATTTTATTCAAATTCAGTAGAACATTAGAGTTTTTTATCGGCGCTATTTTTCAGTCTTCTGTACTATAACCACAATCAAAGATATTGTCTGATTATACTATAACGCTATTGCTTTCATATTCCGTAGCCAAATTATCGCCATTGTTTCGACGTTTTAAAGTATCGGGTCAATGAAGTATCTGTTCATCGATACTTTAAAGCCTTCCACCATGTAGTATAGTCTTTTTATTTCCTCAATTTTTGATTGCTTTTTCATCCCAGCCTAACTACAGGGAACTGTTTTTTCAGACAATAATACGTAACGAAAAATATAAGAGACGGATAGCAGCCAACAATGTGCCAAATTTAGTGGGCTGCCATCACTAATAGACAAACTTGTAGCACTATACATCTGAACAATGTAAGCAACGTTTTAGCTTCACAGTCCGTCTCTTCTAAATGCAGAATTCCTAATTACCAATGCAGAGTTTAAACGGTTTGGATTATTTTTTGTGGTAAGCGTTTTTTAGCCAGTTAGTGTTGTACGGGATGGGGTCGCTAACCCTATGCCCGACTTTCCTCCTTTATCCAGGCTAGGAACCGGCAGTAGCCCAAGAGGGGCTCCAGGTGGGGTTGGTTGCACATATTTGGAGCTAGCGAACACTCTCCTGACAGATGGTGGGGGCTCAGGAACGACCTTCCGAAGATGACACTGGATTTTATTGCCTTCCTAACAATCATATCACCTCCCTCCGTCATACCAAAGACAATTCCACCCAGCTTTCTCCAAAGCTTACATAAGAAGCTCATCCAACATTATAAAGCACAGGTATACAAACAGCACAAAACCTCGTTGAAAACACATGGAGAACTACGTACCATTGAAGATGCATTAGAAGAATAAAACTTTCGTAGGTTACAATAGTTCTTTATAATATTGAGGGTGACCAAAGTTGTTCGAGATCACTAGCTACTATTTTTTTAGGTCCACAAAAGCCTGTTAATCTCAAGTTTTGACACCTGAACTGGCCTTCATTTATAACCTAACAAGTAGCCTACGCCATGCAACTAATCGCACAAATTTACTATCACTTATTGTGTTATGCACTTAATTTATTAAGGGTAAGTGTAAAAATTCAGCTGCGTCCAACAAATCATTAAACATGAATAAAAATAATATATTTGTAATATCCCAATGAGTAGAAAATTAGATTTTCTGACGTTTCGTGACTTAGTGTAAGTAACTTCTTCAGAGGATAAAATATCAAAATATTGAAAATAGGCTTTTCCAACTACAAAGAAAGGAGGGTAGCTGAGGCGTTCCATATAATGCTTAATCCTACTTCTCTCAACAGAAAGGAAGGTCTTACCATACATCCTACTTGGACCATCTATCCTAGCCACTCATTCTGATCGTATTTACAATTTCACACTATCATATTACAAATTTAAAGTCTATCCTTTCTTACCATAAAGGTCACACAAGTTTTCATTCTTAAACAATGCACACATACATACACACACAAATTTACATACATATCACTTATGAATCACCTTGACAGAAATGACATGACATCAACTTGTTCAGACCTGTTTTTGATTGATCAAATATTATTCTTGCATTGTTCCGGTGTACTATTTAAACTCGGATTAATTTTAGTTTGGTTATTTATTCCCTAAAGAAGTGACTTACGCTAAGTCACGAAACGTCAGAAAATCCAATTTTCTGCTCACTGGGATATTACAATTATATTATTTTTAATTATAACAATCAACCCAACGCTCAATTTATTCGAAATTATCAAATCAAACCTTGATAATGATACCTACAAATCATTAATCAGAGCGTGTAAAGAAATGTCGCATGAAGACATAAACGTTCTATATTGCGCATTCACAACTGTACAACTTAAGTGAAGTTATGAAACGTATAAATGATGATAAAGATTGTTTTAAAAATTCATTTAACCTTACTATATTTACGAGACAGAATGAAGCACGAATTTGTCTTCACTTGATTAGGATTCAGGTAGTGAATCCTTGTTTCAGGTAAGAAGCCGATACACTAGAACGACTTCAATAGCCGGAGATCGAAATGGTAAAAGTTATCAGAGCCCTTCTTTATAGCGATAGGTTGAAGTACCTGAACATATTTAAATTGACTTACCTCAGGTTGACTGGTGACTTAATACTGGCTTGCTGCGCACTATACGATGATTTTGGTATTGATATATTCCGTCTTTTCCTCCTATTCAAGGCTAAGCATCAGTTCAAAAACCAAGATTACATAGTTTACGTCAGGAAATTCATTCTTCGCATTGAATAGCGAATAAGGTGAATCCTATATCAGAACGCTCAATATCAGCACATGAAGATGCATTTAAAACGAGATTCGATCATCGTAGTACTGGCTGCAATTAAACGCAACTCAATTTCGTAAATGTGCTCTTCAGCTTAGCAACCAATCAGAATGTGGCGGGAATTATTTTATCCGCCATCTTTGTAGGCAATGGCGGTCGGCTTTCTTCGTTCTGTGCTTTTTTCAGCTATTTCTTTTGTGCAGCTATGTAATTTAATGTTTCGGTGTGCTAAAATTACGCAGTTAGTGTGATGTTCTAAATGTTAGTGTGAAATTTATTTCGAATCGGCAATTTTTTCTGGGTTTTTGCTACTTCTACCCAAGTCAATGTATTTCTTCAGCCAAGCTGGCTAGTCTTGTGTTATAAAATGTTAATCAGTTTTGTTTTGACTTGTTTTCTACATATCCAAGGCCGAAGTTCGTTTTTTAGCTAAAATAATTGCTGCTGCTGCCTGTGACTAACTGTCCGTATGTTCATTCATAATTGTCCTCTATGATGTTATCGGCAAAATGAAAGGAAACAATCTCCTGTTTTTAATTTTCCTCAGTATTATGGACAACACTATCCCACCAACGTGTCAAACTAATACTGAGTGCCAAGCAGTAGGGGATATCACTACTGTTTTCGAAAGGACCCAGACTTCCGACAACCATAGACGAAGCTACAAATGCTACTAATCTATTGCAGAGGGTTTGTTATGAAAAATATGCCATATAACAGTAATAGAGGGGTAGTACTCATTACTCAGTGCGTTAAAGCTAGCTTAATATTGAAACGCCGGAAATCTGCTACCAGTGTGTAGTCTATGTTTGCTGTTTTGGCCATAAAAGAAAGCTGAAGGGTCATGATCAGGAAGTAAAAAGGCAGTTAACTGTTATTAAGCTCACTTTTTTATAGATCATATTTCAACACTCGCAAATCTGTTTTTTTACGGTATGATGTCAACCGTTACCTAATATGTTCACCCTTACGATGAAAAGTACCTGCACATTCTCACCTTCATTTCGAATTATTTTTGGACAACTGTCTTCCAGTTTGAGTGCTTCGTACGCCCTGGGAGACTAGATTCCTACATTATTCGTAGTTCCAGTATAACGTTCTCACGCAGTAAGTTCAAAGTAGACAATAATCTTTCTAAATAAGCCTGTTAAGCTGAAATCCGTATTCTCTATTTCAGTTAATCGATAAAGACATGTACTACATGCACCTGCTGTATACTGCCATTTTACTCCAATTCTAACTGTTCTATCTTCTAAAAAATAAAATTGCTGTATGCAGCAAATACAGACTTATTGTTTTAATGGAGGTAGGGGGGTTCATGGGATTTTTAGTACGACTGTAGTAATATTCTCACTAAAGAGCTAAGTGAGTGCGTAGACCAATGTAAGGTACCATACAGGGTGCCTTTGAGTTACTCGTGTTCCATTAGTCGGTAGAGGCATTACTTGCTTATCATATGACGTTTGGATAAGAAGCTATGAGATTAGGCGCAGGGATGATTAGGATGTGTAACGAGTGTCCATTCATCAGCTGCCGTGACAATTCATGGTGGCTAGAATAAGTTGTGAGAGGACTCAGGTCTGTAGGTTTCCAAAGAAAATGACAAAGATATGTACCAAATCACTATGAAGAGCGCCTCCAATCACTTAATCTCTACTCATTAGAGTATAGACGTCTTAGAGGTGACCTAATGGGTTACAATAACCTTAACACTTCTGGACATCCCCTAAAACACCTACTTAAGCTTAGTCCCAGAAACAAGAGACACAATATAGCAGAACGGACTGTAGACGCAACTTCTACTCCTTAGGAATTGTCAAATGCTGGAATTTTCTGCCCGCCAAGCTAGTCCAAGCGACTTCCCAGGAGTCCTTTAAGAAGTAACTGGATCTATTCTTACGGATTAAGGATAGTATCATACTATGATTTACCAATTTCTCTTTCCTCTTTTATTGTTAACATACCTAGGTTCCTGCCTGGAGGTTTTGGTGATCCGCTGCTACTAGACACGGAAGCCTCTTAAGCGAAAGGTTCTATTCAGTCCACAACCATTTGAACACATGAACTAGGTGCTGAGAGGCTCGCTTGTCACAACTTTCTTGCAACGATTAAGTAGATAAAACAAAGTAGCATTAGATTCAAAAATTTATTCAAGAACTTTCATTAAGAATCGAATATCCAACAAAGGTTTAAAACAAAGTCCCGTTTAAAAGTTGTATTGGTAATGTTAGGCTGTAGTTTTTGTTGTTTTTTCCAAAAGAAGGAGTAAAAGAAGTCGAAAAAATACTGGAAGTGGTTGTGAGAATAAAATGGAAGTCCAGCATCCTTTTTATAATCTGCTGTTAGTTTGGTCTCCCGTAAACAGTTCCATAGGGCCATAGTTCTAGGGTCGAAACAGTTTTTAGGATCTGTGAAGGCTCACTACTGTTGCATTCTAAATGAAAAAATAGTGATGAATTTGGTCAGAAATGTGAAATAGATAAATAAACAAATTACGTGTTTTTTAGCAAAGAATTTATGCAGTTGTGACTTACCTTGAGTTCATGAATATTAGATGAGGTCAGCTACTATTACTTGTGCAAAGCATCACATGGGCTTGGTGCCGCATTGAAATGCTTTTATTATTTTGCTCCCATTTAAGTATTCCCATGCATCTGCGTCTAGTTTAACAGGAAGACATACAAGCAGAGTGAGTGTCTGATAAACTAAAAGTCCCAGTGGTCAAAAAATTCTTAAAATTTGTCCACAACCAGCTGCATTTAATTGAGACGCAGAACACTCATCTTCTAAGACTGTATACTGCTGTTTTGCGGGCAACTAAAAGCTCAGACGCTTAGCTATCTTGCTACCGATGTTATTGCTGGGGAAATTGTTTAATGACAGTGATCATGAAATATGGTCAGTGATAGATGTACAATTTAGAAATAAACACCAAACATACTTATCGCTATCTTATCATGCATAACAGTGAAGATGTCACAGATATTCAGTGTTTGACAACGCTTTTACCAGCAACACCTTCTAATATAAATTGTACCCACCGAGAGAAATCAAAAGACAGAGTCGAAGAGATCGGGAGAGTGTATTTGGCGATTACCAATATATCGGAATTCTCTGATGTAATCTGGCCAGCGATTACGGTAGATGTTCAGCACAGCGTTACCACACGTGATCTGGTGCGGACGCATGACCGAGAGCCTTCAGCTAGATGAGTTTGTAGTGGCGTTGGACAATAGCCACACAATCCACGAAGCTGTGAACACGAGACTACTCAGAAAATAGATATTCAATATTTAACGCGGAGAAATACCTAACAATGGAGAAGGCGCGGAGAATGAGTTGAAGGTACTGGAGTTGATCGAGTGGCATGGCTCGGCCATGCAGGCGTGGTCTCTGCTGAATGTTATCTTATTTCTTCTATTCATATTAAATATATTGTTCTTTCTCTAGCCTTACCTTGTTCTACATCATGTATTGGTAATTGGTACGATACAGTGAGTTTGCGTAGTCGATGGTGTGACTTCCACGTAAGATCTTATAGATTAGGCAGTTATATTATGACGAATCTACAAATTTAGAATTAGGTCTATTATTAGAGCAGCACTAATATCATAGTAGACCATAATTCTACAAGTTCACTAAAACATATGGTCAGCATCCAATGTCGGAAACTTACAGAGCTATTTATTTTGGGGATTTATTTACCGCTACAGCAGCAACAGCATCAAAGGCTCGTTTTTTCCTATTTTTAATCAGACTGATCTGAATCAGTATACTCATTAGAAGCAGGCAACTCTACTTACTAAACTGATCTGTTTCGTTACAGGCTTCAAGCACTACACTTAAGTATACTATAATTCTATCGACTAATCTAAATTATAACGGCAACCAAGATAACTAAACTAAGCAAGTGTCATAGTTATTGTTTCACTTGCAAAGACATGTTGCTCAAAGTAGTTAAATGGACATAATTAAGCCTATTAAACCAGAACACGAAATATGGGCCAGTTGAACTTACCTAACAGAAGATAAAGGATATATATATATATATTGCTTTCAGGTTGAAGACAACAGTCAGTTGTTCATGAAAACATAGTTTACAGTACAAAAAACCTTTCTTCAGTAAAATCATGCAATGACAGTCTATCTGGAAGCAATCGACTATATGAATAAACTCACTATGACTTGAGATATCATCCCAGCGTGTAATGGACGTACAGTGTGACGCAGTCGAACTTGGCGAACAAAAATTAAAAACAGCAAAATTATCTACATAATCTAGTTATTTAATCAAAAATACATTATGAAATGACAACATCTGTTGTTACTTGAACGCACGGATGACCCTAGGCGATACATTAAGTTTACATGGTTGCGTTGCGGATAAATTCACCCCATAGTACCACAAGTTGTGAAGACCACTTGACCTCCCAACCTCATTATTGAAGGATATACACATGTTTTTTATGTGATCTTTCATATAAGTTGATTGAGTAGATTCATAATACTTGAGACACGAGGTACTGTAGTTTACTCGTTACAGTTTTTAAACAAAACAGTTTTGTGACCTTGACCACTTCCAAATAAGCGCTTGTTTTGTATGTGATGGATGATCTGTATCCAAAGCTCTCTACTTATGAGTTTGACTATACAACTGATATCAACAAGAAGATGCGTATCCCAGAAAAACTTTCATACGACTCCGATAATTCAGCAACACTCAGTGAAGGTCATGATGTTTCTTTTCGCAATTATCCAGTTGCAGATTTAAGTGCGAAACTTAATTATACTTACTTTACAGTTTTAGATGCCAAACGCTCATCAGAGTACGCCCTAGGATATAGTCCTGATCTACTGAAAAACAGTGACATTCGCTCGAAATTAGTTTGCAGGTAAGTTTCATAAAGCTATGCATCTGCATCGTGATTCTACTTATTAGCAATCAGGTTCATTCGTAATGCAAAGTCTAGTATATTCACTAAGCCAATGCAAAATAATTCCGCTTAGACTGTCTTTCTGAGGCTTTACTTCTGACATGTTTATTCTTCACTCGTCGTAGCTCTGGCTAACACTGCTTATTTTTCAGAGTACTGTTTTTCCGGTAAAAATCCTAGTAAGATGACAGAGTCTAAATAAATTAGTTATCCACACAAAATCTGATCTTTCGTTTGACCAATGCAATTCTGTCGCATGTGGTCATTTTGTTAAAATAGACGTCTGAAGCCAAGTGAACTGGACACAAATTTTATTGTTCATTGTCCAAACAGAACGACTATTGAGCGTAGTAGGTATTCTGTTAACCTAGCACCTGAACCTTCAAGTCATTGCTGAGATTGTGTGAACAACAAAACCAGTCACTTTGTGTTTTCAAGTATGCGCTTATCTTTCAATGCTTGGTTAAATTCAACTTTTAATTGGGGCTTACCCCGTATACCGTTTTTCAGGTATACGGTGGTATTCAAGCGTCAAAAAGCTACAGGGACTTGTGCAATTTATCGGTAGCCTTCCTCTCTAACGGTGTTTTACAATTAGCTTATGAAGTTTTAAAATTCTGAAGAATGTAAGGTAGTACCCATGTCCACGTAAACCTCGTAAAATAATTGAGCTTTCAAGATTTTTTTCGTCCATTATGTCTTAGTACCAATGCTCGTTTATTTTTGGGCTATTGAGTCAGTAGTTCCAATGTTGAACCCAGAGTATTAGGTAGGTATTGTAAATCGACAAACGAGGTCAATCTTTATAGATTTGGATGTTTGGAAAATGCGTTACTTAACCCCATCCACCGAATATTTTGATAGGGGATGATGACTAGTGTAGAGGTATTCTGGAAGAAAACTAGAGGTAGCCAAACCAAGACAGCATCAGTCCATTGCGACACCAGTTGTTGAACTGAACCATATAGTTAGATGTCAGTCGCAACCTAGAACCTAGTACGTATATATATGAATCGGTTCAAGTTGCTGTACTATGTATATAGCACAGAAAGATAAAACTGTTGCTCTAATCCTCAGAATATTAGAAGTACCAATATCAGTAGTAAAAGAAAACAATAAAAATCGAAGATACGATTCAAGAAAATACAAGGACTTTAGAAGTCTAGAATTCGAGGGAAGGCAAAATAATTAATGCACTTGAGGTATTTCAAACAATCTTGATTCACCTATTTACATGACTCATTCCACTTGTTGATGACTTCACGAAGTGGTCCCATGTCTTGGTTTGGCTGCCCCTAGCTTTCTTTCAGCCTACTCGTATATTGGAAAACATGCCCTTCGAGGTAGACGGTGGTTGGGCACATGTAACACATCTTCCAACCACTTCAGTTGATGAGGATTTACTACCTCATCAATCAATTTCCCATCCTAAGCTAGCACTGTATTCCTAAGCCAGGCATTGCTTACTCGGAGGTCCCAAAATATACGAGCGATGCTCGATGACACCTGCGATCATAGGTAGATGTAGACTGTCTAGTTTATGTCCACATAAATATCGTAAGCAATGGTTAGAGACTTTGTTTTACATGACTCAACATTTTTAATAATAACACGAGTGCGCATATTCTTTGACTTCCATTAGATCTCAGGTTTCTAAATTCCTTATGATTTTTTTATTTACTTTATACTTGCTTGAATCGTATCTTCGATGCCTAATCTTTATTACCATCAATATTTTTATTACCTCTATCACTCTGGGATTTGTTGTGCTATTGGAGTGTGGTAACTTGAACTGATGTGCACATGTGCCAGATCCTACATTGCATATGATTGACTGGCCAGTGTGTGTATAACTTTACAGCAATGTTTTATCAATTATATTTACTGCGCATGCTTTCAACCTTTTCGCATTTTCGAACTGGACTTTTATGTAGAACAAATACATAAAGGTTAGAATAGCATCAAATGTTTAGCTTAGTTACATACTCACATAATTATAGCTCATAGTTGCGTTATCGTAGTTACGTTATTTTTAGATGAATATAAATATTTCATGTACTGATCCTATGGAATAATCCTTAAATATATCATATTTTGTTTAATCCCGTTCTAGTGCCCAAGCTCAAGCTTCTTCTCAGTCGTCAGATGGTTCGGCTAAGGCTAATGCTTCTGCTGGAGTATTCTGTGAAACTTCTAGTCATCGAGCACAAGAACGCCTTCGTGTATCAAGATCTTCCTCCACTGGTAATAACGAACACGTATCTGTTGATCATCGTCTTATCAGACTTGAAAAACGGATATCCCATTTGGAATTTCAACAAGCTCTCATGAAAGGGGGATTAACAGTGTATATATTATATCGCATCATAAGATGGATTATAAAAAATTCGTGATAAACTTGTTATAATGATCATCATCCCAATGTATTTTCAAACAATCATATTTTCTTAATAAGTCTAATGTAAAGTTGATGATTACCTTCCTATCTGTTTTTAATTCAAACTGTCTAGATTACATACAGTGCCGTCGCATCTGCCAGCACAGTAGTGAATCATTGTAGGATTTTCTTTCAGTTATCTTCTTGATTTTAAAGAGAAAAATCCACTATCTTCCACAAATATTCTATACGTACATCATCAGAGTGCATTTAATGTGTATCACTCATTTTAAAATATATAAGTATTATTCCTGTTTTTAAAACTTTTGATATGTAGTTTAATTTCTGTTCTGTTTTTTTTATCATTCATTTTCGACAGACAGTATTGTTTTGTTCGGTATTCTTCATCATATAAACTTCATGCCAAGCTCCTGTATTAATCAAAGGTTTTAAACTATTGATAGACACAAAAATAGATACTTCACTTAATAATAGTATTAAAGAACCGTATATATTGCCAGCTAATCGATCCTGTTTTTGATCTGTCGATAGACTTGTTATAAATTAATTGTCATACAACTCAGCTCAATGACTAATTACAAATGTATGCACTAGTTTTTAGGTCAAACCTCTTTGTTTGATAGCTAGTGATACTGCTCGACTGCTCAATCAGGGGCAGATGAAGTAAGATTTTGAATCAGTGATGACTATATGGTTGAGAATTATATATCTTTCAACGCTAAATCACAGCTAACTTATCAGTTATACCATTGAGTTTTAGACTTTAAGTGACATCAGCATTTTCCTCATTATGAGCTACTCTCGAATTCTGATTTCAGTATCCGTATATGTATTTGTATTTCTTTCTTGCCTATGAATACTTTTTTAGTTTTTCCAAAATAAATGAAAATATATGTACTTGTGCATAGTCTGAACTATTAAGAAATGTTTCCGTAGATCTGGTTTCAGCCAGTCTAAAAATGCCTTGCATTTGTTCATATTCTGGCTGTAATATTTATATTATCTATCTCACTCTCTTTCATCCTGATGACTACTTCATTGTAATATCAATAAATTGCTTCCCAATCATAGTTACCGCCTTCAACGATTATACTGGTATAGTATCACAATAATAGATTTAATTAGTATATCCTATTGCTGTATACAATCCCATCATTTGTAATGAGATCTCTTAATACTATGAACTTGGTTCTCTATATTTGGTTTCAAAACACTAGTATTAAATAGATATATTTTTTTGCTCTTCACTAAAACCTTTGAATTATTTGAATCATCTGGTGAGATTAATTTATGGACAATCTTTGAACGACGCTAATGTGACCTTGAGAGTGTCCACATGATAACTGAGGATTATAAATCAGTATAAGGAATTCGAATTATGATTTACACTTGATGGTTAGGAGTTAGGAATTAAGGTTTTTCTCATCACGAACTGACATCAGTTATAATACCGAAACTCTATTTAACCAAATAGATGGGTGAATTTCACACCAAAATTTGAAACTTGTTATCTTATAATACCAGATTGATTTGTCCATAAATGATAGTCTCATTGAAATCATCTTCATTCATAAATGTTTTAGGTTACTAAAAGAAAACATAATCTACAATGCATACAAATGGAAAATTTCAATAATTTTAGTGTTTTCCACATCATTTAACGGAACATAATTTTCTTTAATCAACAACTAAAGTAATCCCTATGACTTGAATAAAAGCTTGGTAATTATCAATCAATGAATAACATAACTAATATAACGTGATCTAATGATAACTTATCATAAGACTAAACTTATTAATTAGTGTATTTCTATCATATAATTATACTTATTAATGAAGAAATGAAACGGTTAATCTGATTGATTATTGATTAAAGAGTGTTAACAATAATAATAATAATAATAATAATAATAATAATAGGTAATTTTCCCCGAAAATAAATTAATTACAGAATTAAAATGAAGCAAAAAGGCCATTGAATAGTTTGATAGGAAATCACGTACTCATTGTCATCAGTGGAATGTTATTACTTTATTATTATCATTATCATTACTATTATTATAACCATTATTATTATTATTATTATTATTATTAATACTACTATTATCATTATTACTACTATTGTTATTGCCATTGTTATTATTGTCATCATTATTATTATTATCATTGTTGCTATTACTATTATTACTATTGCCCCCAAATGCCCTGGTATGGCCGAGAGTGGGGTGGGCCCGCCCTCCCTCTCGAAATGCTCTCACACGGCCATACGTATACAGGTCCTACTCACTGCCTCGTACAACGAGTGTTGTTTACGAAATTGAGAGGACGAAAAGCGAATGTCCGGCGCTCTAACCAAATTCCAAACCAATGGTGCACATGGGCTCCAGTATCCTGCGGGACCAAATGGCGTATGAACCAATTGTTGGTCCTCGGCTACCATGGGACTGCATCTCCTTACGATGCTCCATTGCCTTGTGGGTCAGACCTTTAGGTCAAAGGCTCAGGGTGTGGCTCCCTAAGAAAACTACCTGGTTCGGTCTGAGCACCCGAGTAGTATCACAGCTCTCACACAAATCGAATGATTTATGTGGCGCATATGTATTTAGTGACTCCTTGTACCAATATTTATGTCTTTAAATAAAGTAATAGATAACTATTACTATTAATATCATTATCACTATTGTTATTAGTACCATTACTATTACTTTTGCTATCATTATCATTATTATTATTATTACTATTGCTATTATTATTATCATATTTATTGCCGTTATTGTTATCATTACGATTATTATTGATACTATTATCATAGCTGTTATTATTATTACTATTATAACTATCCCTATCACTACTGTTACTATGATTTTTATTACCGTGATTATTATTACTATCACTATTATTATTATTATTACCACCCTTATTACTATCATTATTGTTACTATTGATTTTCCCATTATTATTATTATTATCATTGAATAAAACAGCACATGTTAGTGGTGTTTTTCTTCATCTCTCAAATTGGTCATCTTTAATATGTTTTCTATGTTGTTTTTTTATTGATTATAGAAGACCAGATATGATATATGTCACACACTTAAATAAAATAAGTTAGTTACCTTGAATTTACATTTATACTATTACAAATTTGTAATTTGTATAAATGTTACTTATTTTTCTTACTTTAATAGATGTGATTATGTAATTCATTCATTATCGGAAGGAGTTTGTAGAGATGTTAGAAATTTCACAGATTGAAATCATGGGTCAATTGAAGCTAGACCACCATGGAAAACCTGGATCGTGGATGCGCACTGCTGAGGAGTCCCACACTAGGACGAAACAGCCGTCCAATGCTTATAGGTTTTCCATGGTGGTCTAGCATAAATTGACTCACGATTTCAATTCATTCATTTTAACTATTCATCTAACAGTTTTATTTTAATATGCCTAATACAAATTGTATTTTCACTTATATTTTAGTATGATGGCCACCTCTAATGAAGATGATACTAAACGAGAGAAATTAGTTGAACGAGTTCGTACATCAGTTATAGTATTTTGGATTTTATCTATTATATTTCTAATAATAGGTATAACAGTACTGTCTATGTATCATAATTTAAATGAGTAAGTTTATATTTTCTATACTTCTATTGTTATTATGATTGTGATTATTATCATTATCATACTATACAATGTGTATTCCTTTAGTATATAGATCATTTAGATGTTTGAATATGAGTATATCTAATGGAATATATGAATTATGGCTAATATCGGAATCCAGGTTTCATGTTTCTTTTTATATTTGGGACTCATCAGCTAGCTATAGATCTGTATTGAAATGTTAATGTTCACTTGTAATAAGATGGCTATATTGAAGCTATCCCCATAAAATGGACATATACCACTAATGAGAGCGTATACAACCACTGTCAGGAAAGTTCTAATCACTGCCTTCTCGCACTATGAGTGTTATTTACTAAATTGAGAAGACGAAAAGCGAATGTCCGGCAGAGGCTTTAACCAGGTTGTTGGACACGGAGAGTCCACCTAGAGAAGTTGGAAAATCCTGATTCCAAGCCAATGGTGTACATAGGCTCCGGGATCCTGAAGGAACAAATGGCATATAAACCAATTATTGGTCACCGGCTACCATGGGACTGCATCTCCACTGTCTTGTGGATCAGGCCTTTACGTCGAAGGCTCCGGTTATGGTCTCCTAAGAAAACCACCTGCTTCGGTTTGGTTACCCGGGCAGTATCCCAGCCCTCAAACAAATGTAGTGATTTGTGTGGCGCATATCTATTTGGTGCCTTCTTGTACCAATGTTTATGTGTTTAAAAAAAGAAATAAAACAATCTGGTTCTTTGACCCAGAGGTATAGTCCACTAAACAGTGAATCAATATTAGGAAATGCTGTCTAGTGGTAGCTGCTAATCAGGGATGAGTTCAAACACCATTTTTACCCTTTAGGATACTGGTGCCCATGTGCACTGTTTGATTGTAATCAGGGTTCTCCAACTCCTCTCTAATTGGATCCTCTGTATCCACCAAACCCGGCTTAAGCTCTATCTAAATATTCTTTTTTCATCTCACTTTCGCTAAAAACCTCCCCTTCGCGACATAACAATGAGTAGTACTTCTCTGATAGTGGCTGTATACATGTGGCCTATGTAAGAACACTTTAGGTGGAAGAGCAAACTTTCCGTTCCATAATCTTCAAAATGTGCTTTACTCTACTTCATCGTTTATAGTAAAACTAATATTGTTAATTCTAACACAGAATTGAACTCAAAGCTTTAATACTTGAATCTTATACTTTTAATTAATGTATTTGGTTTGTTTAAATATTGTAATTTTTTTCTAAAACTTTCTTTGTTTAGAATCTCATAATGTTTTTATGGGTGGGTTCAAGGGATGTTTTTGTTTTTTATTGATGTCAGTATTAGAAATGATTAAAATCGAATTACAATCTCTAACTGATCTACATCAACTTTGTAATACACCATTGTGTTTTTGTGTTTATTTGTTTTTAATTAATCAGTCAGCAAAATAAAACAAACAGAAGAGACATTTAAAATTTTTACTCATCTAATTTTAAGCTAATTAATTAATGGTTAAGTGCTCACACGCGAAGCCGGTAGGTCCTGGGTTCGAATCCTGCGGGGTGCGGGATCGTGGATGCGCACTGCTGGGGAGTCCCATACTAGGACGAAACGGCCGCCCAGTGCTTCCAGGTTTCAATGGTGGTCTAGCTTCGACTGACTCATGATTTCTGTCGGTGAAAATTATTTCAATAGTTGAGATGATGAGTCAATTAAAGTTAGACCATTATTGAAAAAGTTGAAAGCATTGGACGGTTGTTTGATTCTATTGTGAGAGACTCTTCAACAGTATGCATCCATGATGATGATTATATTATGCATGATGATATGATTGTTTATAGGATTTTGTTTTCTATACGTGTGTGTATTTGTGCAAAATTAGTATTGATTTTGAGAATGAATAAGTTGATCCATGTTAATCTATTTTATCCAATTGTATTTGTCTCTATCAATTGTAGATGTAGATAAAAGGTGGAATACGGGACGCGTATTTTATCCTGTTTTGGACTTGTCATCTAGATGTACCTGCATCCTAGAGTTAATGTTCACTTTAGGACTCTAATCTGACACCGTTCACTTCAAACGCCATCTTTTTATCCACAAGTGGGGAAAATCGAATGTATTTGAACACACAATTACATAATTTTTTAGTAAAATCTTAGAACCATATAGTAGATACTTCATTTGCAAAATGTCAATCAGTTGTATCAGACTTAACTGTTTCTTCATTTTTACACTAATCACTCTGTTCTCGTTCTCTTTTCTTTGATCTTCCTAACATTATGACGCTAAGAATTTCACTTTCGATTAATAACACATACTACTTATATATATCGACATCAGTAGCACACACCACACATCCAACTGACAAGTCCCATATAAGGTGGAACGTACTTTCTGGATCCCATTGCTGGCCATATTCCATCTATTCTACAACGATAGAAAGACTGCTGAGTTGCTTTATATGTAATAGCCCATTCAGAGAGTTGTGATCAGTCAACAAATTCTAAGCAAACCTACGACTATTTCAATGTAAAAAAATTTGGACTGCGACTGAACTGATATAGGATTAAGATTTATTTACAATTGAGTGATGATATGGGATTTAATTCTCCAGGAAACATTAGTTCCCTTAGAGTTACTGGTAAGCTTTACTGATGGGTACCAGAATGACACGAAACCTCGGTCTAATGTTTCCTGTTAACTACCTCCAACTACTACTTCACACTTCCTTATTGTGCATGCGATGTCAGGTTACTGAAACTTGATCGATAGAACTTTATTGACACTAAGAAAGATTTGAAATTCATGACATTGGTCACTATTCAATGATCAATCAATTGTATATAGAAGTTCTGTTTAAACTTTTAGAAGAAGAAAAAAATCTAAAACAGTTAACCTCAATAGCACAATAACTTTCTTTGATTGCCTGAACTTGTACTGATTCAATGAACAAATAATTAAACAACAAGAAATATTGAATTCTTTGTTAATTTTCAACATACTACTGTGGTGCATGCTACATATGTTGACAGACATACGTAGTATGTAACAACAATCAGTAGAAAAATGCATGGCAGCGAAAGGCTATGTAGGTCGGCTTAAAGAAAATAAACGGAAATAGAAAGGAATCGTCATTTGGAAGAATCATACGGAATATGAAGATGAAGTGTTCAGTATATGGTTCTCATATTTTGCCAAGAGATTCTGTAATTACATATTTAGAACAACACAAGTAAGCGTCATCAGGCTTTACTCTAATATACATGAATATTTGTATGAAAATGTTAAACCAATCAAGGTTATTTAGGTCAATTGTCAGTGGTAGAGACATTCGACTTCCAACCACAAGGTTCTGTGTCTGAATCTCTATTCACCTACTTTGGTTTGAGCACATTGGTACTATTGTGATGTGTGCTACTAATATCGACATATATAAGTAGTATATATCACTAATCGAAAGTGAAATATCTGGTGATAGAAGGTTAAGAAGATTGAAGAGAAACGAACGAGAGTGATTGGTGTGTAAATTAAAGAACCATCAAATCTAAGACAATTGATTGACATTTTCCTGTATGGTTCTCAGATTTTACTAAGATACTCTGCAATATTATGTTCATATACATTTTGATTGTCCCCACTGTTGTTCTCGTTGATTACAGTATTATCCAATTTATTCATAACGTTAGATGATCAATGTTTCTGTTATTGTGACTTACTAAATAGAAGATTGATTGATTTTATTTTTGTAAATTTCTTATTTAGTTCATCTCAATACGCTGGTACTATCGCTGGAACATTTTTCTTAGTTTTTAGTATACCATTAATTATATGCAGTGGTTTTTTAACTAGTGCATTATTAATTATACAAGAATCGATTCAAGATGAACGGGATTATCGATGTCGTGATCCAGAATTTTATAAAGATGTTAGTTCACATTTTGCCTATTTTTTTTCCTCTTTCAATGTTTTATCTGTTGTACAAACAATCACTACTTTCTTCTTTCTTCACTGTATAATTAGACCAGTAATGCTGGAACTCCATCAATGACTGTAATGATGTTTCATGTCTACTAATTTTGTTCTTAGATATTCTAGGGATTCAATTTGCAGCTCCCTAATGTCCTTGATGCGTTATATCACTTTATATAACTTTAAGTCGTATTCTACGCGTGAATTCGGTTACGATTTGTTCTTCCTCGTGAGAAGCCATTCTTATGACTTGACTAACTGGTTACACAGAATGTCTTTTCCAAGGTTTCATAAGAAGGTAAAAAGAGGAAAGCTGTACTGATCTTTTGCTTTGATAATTATATTGAATACTTTTTGATTATACAACAGATATATTGAAACATTTAATATTGTGTTTAGTTTATGCAATCATTTGGACGATTTTATATAAGGAAGTATAAGCAAGTATAGATTCATCTACTTAGATTTAAGTCTCAGTTTTATCGTTAAGGCACACGCAACAACAAATGCAGGAGAAGACGATCAGTGTAGCAGCAGCCTCAGCAGCAGTAGGTCTCAATATACACAAAGAAAAAAGCAAGATTCTCCGATACAACACAGCATGCACCAATCCAGTCACAATTGAACGAGATTTGGAAGATGTAGATCGGTACTCTGGAACTTGGGATCATTTCATTTCACATTTGGACTATCACTTGAGACATGGTTTAATGGTAAAGGACTACTTAGTTTCAAATTCAAGTCTCACTCCTCCCACTAGGTACGGTCAAAAACCCTGATTCATGAAGTATGGCTTGAAACTGAGTACATGAATATGTAATTAGTAATAAGTTGATTGATAGTCTTCATAAGTATTTTTTTCTTTCTTAGATTCCCTATCCACGTCAACCATTTAAACCAGTACCGACAACATCGTCATTGCCTACTCCATATCCTTCTGCACCTATTCCACAATTTGAAAATTTTTCGAAACCTTCTCTATCACCAATTCCATATAGAATTCCAAGTCCTCCAAGTTATCATTCAGCAGTTACATTGACTAATTGATCAAGTGCTTATGATGAATTAACCAATTAAAGTTAAACAATGATACATGTGTGTTTTAACAGTTCTTTTTTAATTGCTCGGTGTTATGACACACCTATTGTATTTCTATTCATATTATTTGTTTTGGTATTTTGATTGAACTACTTATTTAAGCTTCAGTAGTCACTTTATTTTCTTTATATACAGTAAACACTAGGAGATGCTAAATTTTATTGGAAGTTTTTATACTGTGACATAACAACGTAAAAACTATTACATAATCTTATTAATTCAGGTTAGCACATTTTGTAATAACACATATTAGGTGTTACTTTGTTGAAAAGTATTCGGCAGGAAACACTAAGTTTCAAGCTAATCAGCACTTGTCATCGCGGCGTACCCTCAATCTTGAAAGAACAAATACTCCCTGTATAGCTATCATCTGACTAACTCAGTAGAAACATTTCAGATTGTCAAACTAGGTGATGCGGGTTCGAATTATTCAAAAAGTATCACTTCCCTCAGGATTTCAGCTAGACCTTGGTAACAAATGACAAACAGCGTTAAGTAGAGGTCCAGGATCAACTACCATCAACCATGTACCATCCAAAACATAACGCATGCGACAGGAGGTTACGTCGAATAGTAGTCACAGCGGAAATTGATCAGGGGAATTATATCGACGCTAACGACCGGAAAAACGTAACGTCATCTACTAATCAATGATCAGACAGTGTACATAGTAGTTAATGAGTAAACCCATCAATCATATAGCAACGTAAGATTATTACACTCATATCAGAGAAGACAGCGAACACGTGTGGTATATTGTGGTTTCGTTTTATCTATTTATTATTTGAATGATTGTTAACAGAATAAACTCGGGGAAACTAGTTGTGTACATGATTTCAACCAAACTTGAAACAAGATAATTGAAAATTAAAACCTCCAAATATTTTCAGAGGTACGACCAAGGGTAAGAAGATTCAGAACTCCTTCTCGCACCCTAGGTGTTGTTTACGAAATCGAGAGGACGGAAATCGAATGTGGACAAGGAGAGTCCACCTAGGGAAGTTGGAAAACTCTCATTCCAAACCAATGGTGCACATAGGCTCCAGTATCCTGAGGGAATAAATGGCATATGAACCTATTGTTGGTCACTGGTTACCATGAAAGTGCATATCCTGACGTAGCTCCACTGCCTTGTGGATTAGAATTTCAGATCGAAGGCTCCGGATGTAATCCCCCAAGAAAACCACCTACTCCTGTTTGACCATCCGGGCAGTATCATAGCCTACACACAAATCAAGTGACTTATGTAGTGCATATGTATTCAATGCCCCCTTGTACAAGTGACATCATAAATCAAGTTTATATGATCTCATTTTTAAGCATTTACTACACAAATTACATATCTCTACAGTAGTAGTCACTAGCCAACAAAATCTTTTGTATTCAATAATAAACAATATATTCTGTATCTATCATCTGTAATACAAGGAATACCTTTAATAATAATAAAAGATTATCGAGAACGTTCAATACAATTAAACCTTTATTTTTTTTATTTTTCAGTTTTCCTTAGAAAAAAACAACAATACCGTAATCATCAAGAAAAAAAGATTGAAGGCGCGCGCGCTCGTGCACACACACAGACGCACGCATGAAAAGTTTTCATCCCATCAATTGACAATTTAACAAGAAACAAATTATTTTCTGAACAAAATTTGTATATTTATTTGCATGTACAATGTATTTTGTAACTAACCTTAAATGATATACTTACCAATATATATTTATATACTGTATTACTTACGACTGTTACTCCCAATGGAGCATAGGCCGCCGACCAACCCACTCTGTCCTGGGCCTTCTTTTCTAGTTCCATCCAATTCTTGTTCATTCTTCTCATGTCTATCTCCATTTCCCGGCGTAATGTGTTCTTCTTTGATCTTCCTCTTTTCCTTTGGCCTTGAGGATTCCATGTGAGGGTTTGTCCTGTGACGCAGTTTGGTGCTTTCCTCAATGTGTGTCCTATCCACTTCCAGCGCTTCCTGATTTCTACCTCTTCTGGGATCTGGTTTGTTCTCTCCCACAGTACGTTGTTGCTAATAATGTCTCACCAACGGATCTGAAGTATTTTGCGTAGACAACTGTATTGGTCCTTGCTTAAAACTACTTCTATGGGTTATCATTTTCTTATAGAGGTGTACATTCTTGAAATTTCAAAATGAAAATGATAATATTTGCTAAATTGATGATAAAGGCAATTGAATGCGTTTTTGATTGTTTTAAATAGTTGTTGTTTCCCATTATATGTGAGATCTGAGAATGGTGATTGCAGTGTTCAGATAGACGGTCATTGTGAAATATAGTTTTTTTCATACGTTTAGAGATGAAGGATCATGCGGGGTAGGTTTGCTATGCTGTTTTTAGTGATTGTATAAAACCGGGTTAGCTACAAATATTTATTGTTTGACAGAAATACCTTAATGTCATTACATTCCAACTTATTCAATCGTACAACTTTACCTTCAAACCATGAGTTCTTGCTTTTATGTTACCGTTGTACAACCGGTTTACTTTTCATGATAGAACATAAAGGGACAAATGTTGTAGCCAGTATAGCTCGTTTTATCATTAAAATAGGAGAGCACAACTATAAAATCTGGGTAACACTTACAGTCGGATGATGGCGAAAAAATTGATGATGATTAGAGTATCACTTAATCTTAGAAGGTCCATGTCCAACACTGTCAAAGGATAACCGCCTTGGAAGAATGCTGAAACAATAAACTATTCTACATGTCAGAAAAATCTTTAGAAGTCCCAGTAAAATTACAATATTCTCTATTAAGAATAGTTTCATATTTCTCATTTACACCCAGAGAAGCATAGACCGCCGACCAGTATTCTCCAACCAACTTTGTCCTGAGCCTTTCTAGTTATATTCAATTTTTGTTCATTCTTTTCATTTCTCGGCGAAATGTGTTCTGTGGTCTTCCTCTTTTCCTTTGGCCTTGAGGATTCCATGTGAGGGCTTGCCTTGTGACACATTTAAATGCTTCCCACAACGTGTGTCCTATCCACTTCCTCCGCTGGGATTTCATATTTCTTACGTAAGTTAAATCTTGAGAATGATGCTTCCAACACATTACTTCATGTTTGTAAGTGGCATAATATAACAAACATTGATATTTTAACCTTTGAATGGGACATTATGGTGGATGTAAGTTTATACTTCCTATTCATCCAGGTCCAAGTTCAAAAGAACAAGTACGATCATTAATGTGTAGTAAGAGATATGAAACAGTATGATCAGATAAACCATGTGTTATTTTACGATTACCAGTAAATACTATAATTTCATTCTTAATCGCTTATCTATAACAAAAACATACCTCCTTTGATCATAATCTACATTCGGACACCTCATGAATTATGTTCAGCGTGAATATCAACAAGTGACGTCTATGGATATATTATGCATTATATCAAACATGTTACGAAATGATTTGAGGTAATTTAAGCTATTGAGCTAATATTAGGTAGTGCAGTATAGAACAAATTACATTCTAAAGGTGTATACACAAATACAGATTATAGAACATTTGTAGAAAGATATTTTAACTTCAAAAAGAAAGATTTTCTGTAAAATACCGCGATTCATCAAGGCATGAACATACACACTACCTCCTGTTTAGATAAATAAATATCTCATTAGTTGAGATCATGAGTCAATTGAAGCTAGACCACCATGAAAAACTTGGAAATACTGGACGGCCATTACGTTCTATTGTGAGAGGAGTCCAGTGCTTCCAGGTTTTCCATGGTGGTCTAGCATCAATTGACTTATGATTTCAACTACTGAAATCACTGCGATCTCCACAAAACCCTTTCTGATACAAATAAATAACTATTAAAAAACGCCTTATAGAAAGCACTGAGAGGATGCAAAATGCTCTGAGACTTAGAACAATTGGTAGTAGATTAGCTTTAATTGTACGGTTCAGATGGAGGGGAACCATCGAATAAGGATGATATGGGCAACCATAACTACAGAGATCACATTTTCAAATGACAAAACATATTTATACACTTCCAACAAACCACAAGTTAGTCAGATAATCTAAATTTATCTCTATGCGGTTTGAATAGAAAAAAATGGAGAAATTGGTCTCTTAAAACAAAACATGTATCATATATGACAAAATTACTTTCTCCTTTCAATTTAAAAACAATAAAAGCTAATACAATCCCCTACGAAACATTATTCTAATGATCGAGATGTTTGCCACACAAAGAAGAAACACCAAACGAAACGATACTAATGATGATAGTTGGTTATAAAATCAAAGATCAAACAAACAATTCCCTATTACAAAGTTACACAATTCAAATGAAACAGTCATTCAATAGGTCAGTACCGATTGAATAATTAATTCAAAAATAACAAGAACAATTTAACTTACATCAATATATTCATCACTACTGATCAATCAATCAAATCGAGTTGAGTGGGGGGGCTTCAAATTGTGAAGTCAAATTGAGCGAAATTTGAATAGTACAAAAAGTAACAATACGTCTTGTTATAACACAAATGCTAACTAACACATAACTCAGATTAAGTTTAGTACCTTGACAACTATCTCCAACCATCTATAACTATAATAGTGAGTTTTCAAAGACCAGAACAATAATGCAAGATATTTCGTCTTATAAATACATTATTATTATTATTATGATTAGTATTATCATAGTAAAGAAAAAGAATTAAATTAAATAAATTATACTGATGATGATAATAATAATAACAATAATAGTAATAATGATAAGAAATGCCACACATTATTAAAAACAATCCCTCCCCTTCATGAAACTAAATTGGTCAAATTAAAGTAGAGTAGAGTAGAGCAGAGTAGAGAAAACCAATAAAATAGTAATGGTTTTTTTTGTTTAAAAACAATCACTAAACAGCAAATTTATATACATAATTCTTCAACATTAGATGTAATAGTCAAGAAAGAGAAAAAAGGAGGGGGGGCAGTGAGGGAAGATAATTGATTTCAAGGAATTCAGTATCATTATCATGAATAAAAATAAAACTCAATTCATACATCATATGTATATAATTCAAAATAAGGATTACTGTGCACATTGTCTAATGGACAATTAAAGCATATCAATAAATGTAGAATGAGGAAATCTTAGCAACCGAATGTCCATACACAGTAATGATGTGTGTGTGAGATAGAGAGAAAGAGAGGGGGATCATTGAAGAGGTGTATTTATGTGTGTATATAAATTACATAATTATCTAAAGAAAAAATATTATGTGTCTTGTGGTTAATATGTACATACATTGATGAATTAAAACAAAATGACAGGTTTAGAACTTTATACTCCGTTGTGTCACATACATACAACATACACACACACACAAATGATTATTTGGTTAAGGTACAGAGAGAGCGAGAGAGAGAGGTGTATTTGTGTTTAAAACAAAAAACAAACAAACAAACAAATATTTTTCAATGTAAGTCAAGTTTACATTAACGTGTATGTGAGTGTGTATGGAGCATTAAAACACCCTTAGAGAGAAGGTGATCAACACAAAATAACAATATACACAACATATACACACACACACTTTGTTACATACGTTGTACACACTTAAAGAAAAAAACAATATGAAAGAATAAATGAAATTAGTGGATAATAATAAAGAAAAATGAATTGAAAATTATCAATCAACACAAAATAGATGTGCGTTTATTCAATAGTTTTCATAATCATCTTTCTATTTTGTCCTACTCTCCTTGTTCTACTCTACATGTCAATATATATAAACCCTATGGATAAAAAGAAATATTAACATATACGTTGTGATTACAAATGAGATGAGAGAGAGAGAGAGGAGGAGAAGAAGAAACAGGAAACAAGACTGAAGATTGTATGTCTATGAATGTAAATCTTGATTACAAATTCTATTTATTATGAACAGCTTTTTATTATATTAATTAACAATTTGAAGCTTCAGAAGGATCACGATTATTTCCAGAGGTATAAATGCGATCTTGATGTCGATGTGATGAATTCGATACTGATCTTTCGCCATGATTATGCCTTGATGAATATGGAGAACTGTCATCACGATCTCTTGATCTATGTGAAGAAGACGAATCACGATAACGAGGATTGTATTCATCATGACGATGTGATTGTTGTTGTTGATGATGATAATGAGGTGGATGTGTATGGTGTTTACGATCATAACGAGAATTATGATGAGAATGATGACTACTAAAGCATGGATGTTGTTTTGATGTTGATGATGACGATGATCTATAATGATCAAATTTACTGGAATTTCTTGATTGATACGAGTTATGATGTCCATGTGAATGATGACGGTTTTCATAATGACCACCATAATCACGAGATGATTCTTTAAATTTTTTCGATGCTAAAATACTACTACTATTATGAGCTGTAGTAGTGATATTAGTAGTAGTAGTTGGTTGACGTGATTTAGATAAATCAGTATCTACTTTTGTCTTTAATTGACAATTTTGAACAATCGGAGTTTGTAAATCTGTAACATTATAACTAGTTTTAATTGATTGAAAACATTCAGGTATAATATCAGTGGATATGTGTTCTATGGGATCTAATTTTTCATCTAATACAGGTGTTCCAATACTTATTGGAGGAGAATCATTATCATTAGATATCGATTTTGAATTTGTTACTAATGATATAGGAGAGATAATTTCTGTAGTGGTCGTCTCATTCTCAACAACAAATTGATTGATTTCATCTTTCACAGATAATGATGATGATGAAGAGTTTAAAAGTGTATTCTCTTGACAAATAGATTCATCACATTGTTGATTGTTGACAGTTGAATCATCCATCATGTTAATATCATTATTTAATTCAGTAGATAATTCATCATGTTTTAATAAATTATTATTATTATTATTTGGGGATAATGATGAATCTTTTTCAGGAGATGAATTATACGTTGTACAAATGGAATTTAGAGTTGAATAATCATCTGAAACTAATGTTTCAACAGCAAATTTTGTAAATGATTTATATTCTTTATTATTATTATTATTATTATTATTATTATTATTATTATTATTATTATCTGGAATTGAAATGACGGTTGTAGAAAATTCACAACTAGCACCAATACTACTATCGTTAACTTTTTGTTCAGTAGTAGTAGTAGTAGTTAGATTATTGAGTAAATCTATAGAAGTATCTAACAATGAATTATTATCATGATTGGTTGTTATGAATGAAATATTCTCATCTTGTACATTATTATTCACAACACAATTATTATTATTATTATTAACATCATCTATATCTATATCATTATTAATATGAGATATATTTTCAGTTGAAGTAGGAGAAATGTTATGATGATGATCATCATCATCATTATCATCATCTACAACGACTTCCTTCTCATGTGATGATTCAATAGATTGGTCTTTATTTAAAGGATTTATTGAACTGTCATCTATGAATATATTGGAACTTTCTACATTATTATTATTATTATTATTATTATTATTATTATTATCGATTATCGACTGATTCGTGATATTAATTTGATTCAATGAATAATTTGAAGGAATTGTTGATGTTGAAAGTTGATGATCACAATCATTTATTGATTTTAAATTATTATTATGATTAAATGACATAATAACTGGTTGATTGGATTTCAATGCAAAATGTTTAATTTCTGTTAGAACTTTATGAATTGTAATATGACTAGAGAAGATTGGTTGTATATTCATTAAACAAGTTTCATCATCATCATTATTATTCTGAATTAAATTTGATTCATATAAATGTGTACATAATAATAATGATGATGATGATGACGACGACAACGATGATGATGATGATTGGATTGATAATGTTCGATCTATTGAAGATATTTGATTAGTTGAAGGTGATAAGTGTTTAGTATCATCTGATATATGAATTGAATTGTTTAAACTTTCAACAGATATATTATCATATGTATTGTTATGGTTTAATTCAGATAAATGATTAACAGTTAAACATGAAGTATTATTATTATTATTTTGTAGATTGTCAATAATTTCATGAAGTAATTCTGGTTCTGGTACTAATCTTTTACGTGTAATGGAACATTTACGTTTTCTTGTTGATCCAAAACTAGGTGATGATGAAATATTCAAATGATCATCAGTAGGTGACATAATAATTGATTGATTATTTGATGTAGGCTTTAATATTACTGATGATAAACGATCTATAGAATCTTCATTAGATTGTAAATCAGATGGCTTTAAACTATTAAGTGAATTAAGAGGTGAATTATTGTTATTATTATTTGTAGTAGAAGTGATTGGGACAATAGAATTTAATGCTAAAGTATTCATATTAATTTCTTCTGTATTAGATGAGATAAGATGATCATTTGAAAGTTGTTTAGGTGAATTTTCATCAACTGTATTACATAATGAATTATTTGAATCGATTATCACTAATGACGATAAATTATAGTCTACATTAATTTCAGATGATATTTGAACAATATTTGATTGAGTTGGTGATGAATTTTCTGACATACATGTACGTTTAACGAGAATATTGAGAGATTCATCTTCTTTGCTAGATGATATTTCATCAATTTTATCAGGGAGTACAGCAGTTAATGTAGAAAATTTATCAGGTAATAATGGTACAGGATTAGATGATGTAAGTTTCAATGATTTATTGAAACCTCTACTTCTTCCACGATTGATTCTAAGTGGAATTCGACCTCGAGAACACAAACTACGTGATGATGGTAATGATATTTCATCAATAACTTGGTTATTTTCAACGGGTAACAATGAAATGGAAGTTTGTTGTTGTTGTTGTTCTGGAACAATGGAATTTTGAGGTAATGTAACTGTGGATTGTGAAGAGTTGGTTTGACGTTTCCGTTCCAACCAGTCAACAACACGAGCCAGTTTTTCGCCCTAGATTTTTAGAATCAACAAAGAATAAATAAATCAATTACATAAAAAAAGAAGTAAACAAAAATGTTTAAGTTATTCTTTTTTCAAAATCTAAAAACATTATTCCGCATAAAATGGAACCGCTTTCAAGAGTTAAAACTTATTACTTTATACGTAAATATCAACAATTAGGAACAATAAACTTTAAAAGTGGACTGATCCACTAACTGTAGTGATAGTGTATTTACAGTGTAAATTAAGAATGGAATTATTTAATCTTGAAAGTTATTGTCACTGTACATCAGGATAACCATATTAATAATCTCGTGAGGACGAATGGTGCTACTCAACTGAGCGAACTGATATAGATAAATAAATAGTCACTTATCAAGATACAGCATAGCACGAATGTGTACTAACCCAAACTTTCATACCACGTTAGTACGACAAAATAAAATTAGCAGGATCAGAAGCGAAGAAATAGAAATAAGGAACATGAAATCTTAAGATCTAGATGGACTAGGATCAAAAGCAAATACATAAAAGACATATCATACAAAGTCTCCGGCCATTGACTGCAATTATCTAGAGGACCCCCCGACCAGGTATTGTATACCTAACAGGACAGGTTTAACCAATAATAAATGAATTCATAGACTGATGACACATTTTCACTAAATTGTCCATAGTAAATGGAATTGTGTAAGGTTGTAGTCTATTCGTTGAAAACTAAGAACTAAAGCCTTCAAGAAGTCACTGGCTCGAAATAAACCTTCCTTTCCAGTGATTTAACTTAAAATTTCTTATAACTAAACGTTATCTAGAAAACTGTATGTGGTGAAAAAAATCAATACTATTGTATGCAGTGCTACACAACCACACTCAAATCAATTATGGAGTAATCAAGCCTAGAAGTACAAAGATCATACTGTGGTGTGTGCTACTTATATTGACATAAGTAGTTAGTTGTATGTTAGTCGTGAACAGAAGGTCTGACAACAGAGACAAGAGGATCGAACAGTAAAGAATCGAAACAGAATGCAATTTGTATGAAAATGTAAGAACAATGAAGTCTGAGTCATTTTGAGACAATTGGACATTCTGCAAATTAAGCATTTACTTTATGATTGTTAGCTTTTATTATCAAGTCCTGTAATTTTGTGTTAAATACATTCGATGGTTCCCACCCGTGTTCTGTTCACTACAATGCTACAAAACAAACCTAAGGCCAGGAAAATTTGACACAATAAATACCAGTTGAGTAATTAAGCCAAATTTCGTGTATGAGAGGCTTTGAGAGACAAATTACGCATGGGAGTTAAAGCCAGTATACATCTATCAATCAATTATACGATAGAATAACATTTTGCCCAAGATCGTTAGTCTCAACTCGGACCCACGCATTCTAGCCCACACTGGAACCAATTGGCGTATCGTATCAAAGCCACAACTTGGATCGAGACAAGATTTCTCTTGTATATTACTGGGTAGGAAGATCAAGGATGTAACATACGTCTTATAGACAACGAACATTTAAAATACTTTTCTATTAACATGTTGAGACATGTTGTGTAACACCTCCCACAATGCCCTGGTATAGCTGAAGAAAGAAAGAGCCCAAAAGCTTTCATATACCAACGCATAAATAACCACTCCCACGCAAGTCCTATTGACTGCATCCTCGCGAACAGGTTGTTGTTTACCCAATTGAAAGGACCGAAAGAGAATATCAAATGGGTGCTTAAACACCGTTATTGTGTACGGAATATCCAATTAGAATAGGAAAATCTTGATTTCAAATCAATCGTGAACATTGGCTCCACGGTCCCAAAGGGAACAAATAGCGTATGAACGTATTATTGGACATCGGCTATCATGGAACCGCACCTCCAGACCTTGTAGTGGCTCTCTAAGAAAACTACCTGCTCTGGTTTGGGTCCTCAGGAGGTATCCTAGCTTACAAAAAAGTTTATTTATAACTATAGTGTGTGGTATATAAGTTTATGTGTTGAAATAAAAAAATAAATAAAACACGATGTGTAGCTAAGGTTATTTATTTTCTTGAGAAAAAACGATAGATCTTGAAATATTAGTTACGATAACATAGTTTGTCTACCAATAATATAGTCTGCGAAAATCCCATGACATGACTACTGTCACAAAAGGAGCCCAGAAAAACGAATGATTACTGAATGGGCAAAATAAAAAAACTATCACTAGGAAGACGCATTAAGTTGGATAGAACTTATAAGAACACAAATTCTTAAGAAACTCAAACAAACCTTTTGCTTTAAACTGCCAACTGGAACTGTAGCATTCTTCTCATCGCTATTGGACATATTTCCAGATGTTGTAGTACATTCTTCAGGAGACGTTTTAATTTCAAATGTTTGTTCATCTTTGACAGATGCCTCTGAGAAAGGTATTTGATCACGGGTGAGTAGTTCAACAGCTGAATACTGTCGTGGTAAACTACCACGAATACATTGATTATCAGGTTTACGAAGGAAACAATATGGCTATGAAAGGGAAAATAATAAAAAGATTTTTCATGTAACAATGACTAGTATTCATTTTATTGGTTTTCAGAATTACCTTATTTATTTTATGACAGAGATTTTACCGAATTCGCTGGTGTTTATAACACCAGGAAGAAATTGAATTCTTGTGTACTATTCTCATTTAACAGTAAAAACGACACATCTAAATACTTCCGGCTAACTAGTATGTTCAAGAGACTAAAACTTTAAAAAGAAAGCATTAAGTATTAGACACCTGGAAACAGCCTGTATACTAATGCGGTAAAATTGTAGGTTGAAAGTTAAAAGACTGTTCTTTTCGACTACTTCATACAATTATTCAGAAATTCTACAATTTGAACCAACCTTAATATTATTTTCTAAACCTTTAACAAATAGTTAAATGAATATTTTGAGACGGTGTATATATATTACGTTAAAAAGTATTAGAAATGAAATAAATTATTAGATTACCAGATGAAACGGTAAATAATCGCGAATATGAGATTTCACTGTGTAATTTCTTATCATACATCTTTCAGGAGGGTAACCTAAACATTTTAGTTAAACAATTATACACATATTGTATAACAATATAGAATTCATTAATTAATAGAAAACACCTATCAGTGTATAGGGGTTGTGGAGATTATTAAGTTTTATATTATTGAGATCATGAACTGAATACACCTAGTCTGATAAAATCGTTAACTGTATGTTTCAGTACAAGCTAGCTGAAAGTAATTAGCTCGAAATCATCATAAAAGACACAGAGTTTGTAATTGTGATTAATGATTACCCAAGATGAGAAATGTTCACCTGTTTTCTCCATTGAAGAAACAAATGCTTTAGGGCATAAGGTTTTGTGAAGATAATTTAGCACAAGGTTATCTTTCTTTCCGTACTGATATCAGTAAAAAGACTACTATAAACCAGGGAGCTCTAAACAGTTATGTTGTCTTTGTTTTGAACTTTCAATAGATGCTTACAAAGGATATCGTAAAGCAGAATCAAATGTCAAGTGCTCGCTAGTTTTAGTCATATACAAAGTAATCTCAAGTGCTGTTAGATATATGAAGGTAGTCATCACGGTGTAAATATACTTTTTTGAAATACCTGATAGGAAAACTAGATAAGTAGTAGTCTAAGAGACCTGAAAGTATGCACGCAGAAAAAGAACAGTTATTTGAAGCTGATCATACGTAAGTCTTGTGTGAGAATTAGAACTATATTTAAATGGCCTTGCTACCAGTGACGGGAATGTATGGGGTAATTTGAAGCATCTCATGTTTTGGGCCAGTTACCCTCCGGTGTGAAAAGGCTATAGAAGTACGAATGTTGATTGTTTAATAAAAACATCTTACAGTTGTCACACCTCGGTACAATCAACAGTAAGTTTTCTCTTTCTATCACTGAGTTGAACACTTCAATTATACCGTCCTTCAACGAACTTGATGGAACAGTAACAAAATAATTTTTTAGAGAATATGCCCCAGTTTGTAAGCTTGATCATCATTGAAATGAAGCAGCTAAGGTAAGAGTGGTATGACAGCCTGGACCGATCTACATGTGTGTTTCATTTTACGTTGTGAATGACTAACACCTTGTTTTCCAACTGATAACGGACTATCATGAAAATGAACCTCAAATCAGAGTTTGTCTTCATGTTTTATATATTCGGAAAACCACTAGATTAAATATAACTAAACTGAAGTGAGAGATATCTTTTAACAGTATCAAAATCTAACTAGCCGACAGCGCAAAAAACAAAGTATAACAACAGATTATTGATATGGATATTTAGATCTCAAATTCACATACCTTCATACTGACTTTTAAGTAACCAGGAGATATTTCATCAAATCTACAACTATGATTATCAACTGATGACTGTTCAAATAATTTTTCGCAAACAAAGAAATATTGAAACTGATTTGCAGTAGAATTGGAATCATTCAGATTGTCATTTTTCAGTGATGGCATAAATTCTTTTATATGTGCTGTATATAATAAATCAGCCGGTCTACCAACTCTATATGCTGAAGGACATAACACCATACATCTACCAATCCAAGCGTCTAATGGAAGAATAACACGTCTAGCCTCATCGTAGACAACTTCATCATGATGCCAAAATTGTGGACATTTTGATGAATCAGTTATTACCGATAGCGGAGGTAAATCATATGGACGCAGAAATAAACCACCTTCTAGCCAAGCTAAACCACTAAAAAATGTGTTAGAAACAATAGTTGTTTATCCAACAATCTACATTACAGTTTCCATAAATTTAATTATGTAGACTATAACACTGAAAGGATTTGAAAAGGACTGAAATGTAGTTAGTGAAATTAAAGTGTGATAGAACAATGGGTGTTGGATGGTGACAAATATTCAGTTATTCCGGACTGAGTTTATAGACAATTTGTAATTGTGTCGAGTAAAGTATTTTTTTATCAAGCATATACTGTAGTTCTCTATATTTGATGGCGAATCGTTTGTCTAGTGTAGTATGATCCCAGTCGGTGCATCGTGTGTCGATGAAGTACCCAGTCAATCGACAACACATAATATCGGTCACGAAAATAAAATTTTGAAAGATCAGTGACTCAAAATATTACCAGGATACTGTGATTTGAATCGTGTTACTTTGAGATAAAGAACGTACAGCAATGTCACAAATGATTTTAAAGGCATCATTAAAAACTAAGATATTGTTATTGAGCACGTAAGAAATAGTGGATAGTTTGAGCTTTACTATTAAGTTCAGCTTAAAAAACCGATCTTACATGATCCAACTCAAAAGTAAATAATAATCAACTGACTGATTATTGAGTAATGACGAATGTCATGTTTATCGATTGGATTTTATCGAACAAGTCAAAATAAGAGTTACCATTTTAACTGAATTAATATTGCACGGGTACTATGTTTTGATAATAGGTTGTTGGAACTAATCACCAGGAAACCATGAATCTAGGTTTCATGTTGAGACTCGTTAGTAAGCTGTACAAGTTTCCCCAACATTATGAGTACGGCTGGCCACTAAATGCCCTGGTACGACCGAGGGTAGGAAGAGTCAGCTATCTTTCTTGAAATGCTCTCACATGGCCACGCGTATACAGCTACTGCCACAGACGTCTTACTCACTGCCTTCTTGCGGCATTACTGTTTACGAAATTGAGAGGACGAAAAGAGAATGTTCGACGCTTTAACGGGGTTGGTGGTCATGGAGAATCCACCTAGGGGAGTTGAAAAACCCTCATTCCAAACCAATGGTGCGCATGGGCTCCAGGATTCTGAAAAAAAAACATGACGTACAAACCAGTCGTTGGTCAATGGCTACCGTCAAACCGCATCTCCTCACGTTGCTCCACTGCCTTGTGTTCAGATCTTTAGGTCGAAGGCTCCGGGTGTGACCCCCTAATAAAACTACTTGCTTCGGACTGGGCAGTCGTGCAGTATCATTACTTACTTACTTACTTACTTACTTACGCCTGTTACTCCTAATGGAGCATAGGCCGCCGACCAGCATTCTCCAACCTACTCTGTCCTGGGCCTTCTTTTCTAGTTCCATCCAATTCTTGTTCATTCTTCTCATGTCTATCTCCATTTCCCGGCGTAATGTATTCTTTGGTCTTCCTCTTTTCCTTTGGCCTTGAGGATTCCACGTGAAGGCTTGTCTTGTGACGCAGTTCGGTGCTTTCCTCAATGTGTGTCTTATTTCCAGCGCTTCTTCCTAATTTCCTTCTCCACCGGAATCTGGTTTGTTCTCTCCCACAGTACGTTGTTGCTAATAGTATCCGGCCAACGGATCCGGAGTATTTTGTGTAGACAACTGTTAATAAACACCTGTATTTTCTGGATGATGGCTTTCGTAGTTCTCCAGGTTTCTGGCCCATACAGTAGAACTGTCCTGACATTTGTATTGAAAATCCTGACCTTGGTGTTGGTTGGCAGACAGTTGTTTTGAGTTCCAGATGTTTTTCAGTTGTAAATATGCTGCTCTTGCTTTTCCGATCTGCGCCTTCACATCTGCATCAGATCCACCGTGTTTATCATTGATGCTGCTCAAATATGTAAAGGTTTTTACATCTTCCAAATCTTCTCGTTCAATTGTGATTGGATTGGTGCATTCTGTGTTGTATCGGAGAATCCTGCTTTTCCCTTTGTGTATATTGAGACCTATTGCTGCTGAGGCTGCTGCCACACTGTTTATCTTCTCCTGCATCTGTTGTTGCGTTTGGGATAGAAGGGCCAGATCGTCTGCGAAGTCTAGATCATCTAACTGCATCTTAGATGTCCATTGTATCCCGTGCTTTCCTTCAGTATCAAACATAGTGCAGTATCATAGCCCACACAAAAATCAAGTAACTTGTGTGGCGCATATGTATTCGATGCCCCTTTGTACCAATATTCATGTGTTCAAAGAAAGAAATAAAGCGAGTAGAGCTACCTGGAGAGTGTTCACTTGCAACAGAACTTGATCAAGTAGGATTTCCTGTCCCCTCCAACTCCTAACCAAACTGTAGAGTGGATGATGGACAACAGAAAGGATTAAGTGGCATCGTGAACAAAAATATCCAACAGAGCAAAAATCACTACACAATAAAAAATTTTCGAACCTGACATCCTTCCATAATCGATAAATTCGAACAATAATACGATCATAAGCAGATTTCACTGGAGACTGTAAGGATTGATCTAAAAGTTGTTTAACATTCATTGATACAGTAGTTGTTGTTCCCTTTGATATATCCTGTGAAATATTGAGATGATTTAACCAGAAACGATTAACAAATGCATAATCATCTGTACGTATTTGACAAGTTCCATCAGGACTACCTAATGTCCAGAATTCATGTTCACCTTTCACCAGTGTATCTTGTAAGTCAAAGACAGCATCTACATCGTTTAAACTCATCGCTGCAGATAATGAACGAGGATATTCCTTTACAATAGAAAAATTAGTTATAAAAATCAATGGGATGGTGAAAAATATTTGAAGAAATGACAAGAAATGTTTGTTGAGATAAAGAAAATATGAAGATGACATATATGTAGAAAGATTAATGTCTAGAAAAATCGACTTATTCATTCTAAATTATATAGTAGCTAGTTAGTCAGTTAATTAACTAGACAGGAAACCTAGAATGTTTAGTTTTTTCAGTATGACCACATTTATATTAAGTATAAAAATATATATATACCAACAAAGAAGTGGAAATGAATCGATGCACTATAATAAATAGATCATGAAAAACAGTTCATTAATTCTAAGTAATATAGAACTAGGGAAATATGAGTGCATCGATTCACATTGCCACAATACATTACATTACAGAAATGCTAAAGTAGTAACAGTATTTGGGGTAGTAAACAACTTTAACTATAGATTATAGGATTCAAGGAAAAATGAACTGTCGGTATCGGGTTGTGGAGATTTTTATGGTTTATTGAAATCCAGAACTGATTCAAGTTAGACAAACGATGAGAACCTGTAATCACAGGATGGTCGTTTCGTCCTGGTATGGGATCTCTCGGTAGTGTATATCCATAACCACACCACCAAGACATTTGGTCTTCAAATAAAAGTAAGCAGTCTGTTGTTTTTTGTTGTGTTTTTTTTTGAATAAAAATAAAGAAGGCAATTAAATCCTACAGATCATATAACCATCTTATCATTCATTATTCTAGAATGCTAGTGTTTTCCATTTCTACATGAGAAAAACACTTCACAGAATCTGAATCGATGTTCCATGAAACTGTTGGAAATGTTATCCAATAGGTTAGATAAATGTGTTCAAACACAAACCATAGATTCTATTATAAACCAAGTATTTATTTAGAATAAGGATTGCAAATCTCTACCAACTATATATTGAATTTATTGCTTCAGCTGAAACATTTACCAATCAGTAATGAACAAAAAATCATTTGATAAAAGTACGCATCAGACCATACCAGAAGTATTTACAAAATGAAATGTCCATTAGATTAATTGATGTAAATAATAAATGGAAATTATGGATAACTTCTAAAGAAATAAGAAAAAATGAAGATAATTATATTGATTTTTCACAAGTATTTCAAAAAAATACAATGAAACGTACTTTTGTTAAATTATCCAATTTCAAGCAAACTGGACATATATAAGGAGCATCAACTTCTCGATCATCTTCACCTTTCACATCTACCTCAACTGTATTACCGCCACCGCCACCAACAGCTTGTGCAGCAATTAACGCTGTTTGACATAAACGAACTAAGTTTGAATTTAATCCATTGGAGGAATCATTACGAATAGCCAGACTAAGTGCCCACCATAAACATGGTAGATGTTGCCACGATGCACATAAATCACATTGAACCATAACATGACCACCTTCAACACGAAAACCACATAAACATCGAATAACTTCAGCGCCACGTTCTAGTGCACGACGATCAGTCTAAGTAATTAAATGAAAGTGAAAAATAGTTCATATAGTGAATATTTAATACATATATATAAGCAACTTTGAAAAATTCGTGTAGCTTTCGCTTTTAATGTCCAACGCGTTAACAACTGAGTCCAGATGGCCACAAGCTCGCTAAACGGAGCTAATGTATATACCTGTCTCTATCAGTAAGGTTCGTGTTATCTCATCATTGATATTCATAACGATTACATCGAAGGAATGATTAAAGGAGTCCATATACGGCAACAAGAATTGATGAAAACCCAATCATAAATATTAACAGCGATATAACTCAAACTTATCTGAGTGTATTTACCTAACGAACGCTTTAGATAAAATTCACTTGGTGAGAAATATCACACATAATAAACATCCTAATGAATATAGAACACTAACAAACGAAATCATAGTGTATAAGAATATACCAGAACAATATGATAACAAAATTAGTATTAAATATGAAGGAAAAGAAAAATCTAACAGTCAACTTACTTTTTTCTTAGAACTGTTATTTTGTGATTTAATTATACATGGTATAAACGATTTTGGCATTGCAACCGGTATGTGATTCTCCAACTTTAAACTTTCAACCAAATTAGTCTACGAAAAAAAACACAAGCAGAAACGATCAGTAAATATTTAGAAATTGAAGAAAACACACACACACACACACACAGAAACATAATCATGTCGATCTGCTTGAAAATGTTGATGATTTTTTCTATTGTAAACAAACAAATACTGCTATAACAACAACAACAACAGTGATAATGTCTTAGGATAGATGTTTGCTTTCTGAAAAAGTCAAGCTTGAAGAGCGATAAAAATTTAAAACTCAAAAATGAATTTCTGATTGATTCAATTATGAAAAAGCATGGATTAGTTTGTATTCTGCTGTTTAATTGCCACTCAAAAAATCCAATGTAAACATATGCCACATGAGTACATCGGTTCAAGTTGCCAAAATTTTAATCACAGAACAAGATGAAATGAGCAAAAATGGGAAGATTCAAGCCCTCATAACTGAAGCGTGTATAATAGTTGTTAACAATGTGACCTTCATAACACAAACAACCCTACCGCGACATCCAAAATATTTCTATGATTTTAGTTTACATATAACATTGAGAATGCAATAACCAGAATGTAGTCTAGTGGGTAATATTGTGTTGTTTCAGGCAAGGAGTGATAACTTTGAGGTAAGGAAATCGTGAGATTACTAGATCTCTGTTAATAACTATATGAAAGTTTCAGTTAACGGTAACCACAACTGCTTTTTCCCGTCTAAATATCTAAGTGACCATTTCTGATTGCTTGGCAGTCTTCGTTCATTAATATTCTGTGTAACTTAGCTTAAAGTACTCATTATTAGATATACTGAACTGTATCATTTCAAGTTGCTCTGAAAAAATATTAAACTACACTGACTTTGTTTTGTATCATTAGCTGTAATCAAGTCCTCAGCAGAACCGTTCATGTTAAAAGTTTGTAAGTAAGAAGTGAGAAATATATATCAGAACCATGCAACTTCACTGCTAGCTACCATAAAAGGACAAAAAATCAGTTAATAATCGAGTGGAGGTTGAAAGTCCGGTCATGGAACTGAAGGTCCTGAGTTCGAGTCCCGTAAAAGAGACTGTAGATGGAACGGCCGTTTAATGCTTTCAAGTATTTAATCATGGTTTACCTTAGATTGACTCTTGATTTCAATTATAGGAAAGCTGTGTTACTTCAAATGAATGAAAATAAATTGATAGGTTGGTATCAATAAGCTGGGAAGCTCTTAATTGACATACATAGACAGTATAGTAGTTGGTTGGATATCAAACACTTAAAATAAGTATGGTATTTCCTGTATTCATGAACAGGTTTAGTTCACTCAAGTTAAGCATTGGGTTTTTAATCAAAGTTTCAAAGATTGGGAAGCAAAAAAGTGTTCCTTCTAAACAACTACACAGTAATACATAACTAATTAAACATTAAGTATGATCACAACCTAGTATATAGTGTCACACATGAGCAAACAGACAATTCCCAAATGTTCTGTCACAGAAAGCATTGAGTTTCTATTACTATACATACAGGGAAATGTACTACACAAACTTTCAAGTAGCAAGGCTTCAGAGCATGATAAAAAAAATAGCTGTTCAGAACCATACAAAAGCGAAAGTTAACAAACGTGAAAATTCACCATTATCTATCAAGAATAACGGTGTATCCTGATCTTGTTGGTTACGTGAGATAAAACGAAAATTCATGAAACAGAAAATAATTGCCAGAAAATTTTTTTTCAATTAAAATCACAGACACAGAAATGATCAACGACAAAATAGGACAATCCTAATCTGAAAACAAAAAATCGATGAGATATATTATACACTTAACCCTAATATAAACAAACAAACAAACAAAAACTCACTTACACGATGTTTTATATAAACACTTTTTAATTTCATTAAACGTCGACCAAACCAACTACGACGTCCAGTAAAAGCTTCCCATACAGTGAACATATTATCCATAGCTATATCTAATGAATATAAACTTTCCATAATATTAGCATTTGTAACTAGGAGAAAATGATTCTCTTCTTTTTCTGATAATTCAACATGTAATAAATGATGATGATGAGGTGACAAATTATCATCATTATTATTATTATTATTTAATGTTTGATCTTTTATTGAATTTATAATAAATCGTGATGCAATACTGGCTAAACAAAGTGATGGATATTCAACATGATAAATTTCATCATCATCATTATTATTATCATTATCACCAATTGGTGAAAATAGACGATTAGTAAAATTCGATGTAAATTTAACATTTAATCCAGAACCAGATAAATGTGATGATAAGGTAAATCGATAAAATTCCGGATACCTATGTATGAGAATAATAAAAATAAATAACATTATTAATTTAACTGATATATACAACAATACAAAATGACCCCCCCCCACATACACTTTATCTTTTCTTTTATATTACACATTTTCTGTTTACCGTTTTTTTTTCTAAGGTCAAGTCAATAAGACTCTGGAGTAACTAGGGACCAATTAAAAAAACCATAACCGGGTTTTCATCCAATACATACAACTCTAGTGTAATAAGTTTAAAAGAGATTCATATTTTCTTTTTTCTCTAAAGGTAGTAAGAAGTAAAACAAAACAACAAAAAAACACAATGACCTTAGAAAGCTTGTGACTTAAGGCTATATCGAGGCAATCTACACAGGATGTACAGATGCCAACATGAAACTGATCAATTGGAGTCATAAATAACAATAGGAAGATACAAGTAAAACAACATCAAGTGACCAATGACCTTATATGTTTACAATAATAAGAAATGATTAATTTAATTTAACTGAGAAGTGGTTTACATATTGTGGACGTTTTTGAGAAAAACACTCATTGAAATATGAGAACAATATGACTGAAGATTTTGTATTGATTATGAATTATCATATAAACTGAACAAAAATTTAGGTAGAGAAAACCGATTTATTGTTTAATGTAAAATCATACTTTAAGATTCTTAAAATTCAGTCATTATTCCAGTAGCTCTCTGTTTACATTCATGTTCTGTTTAACTAAAATTTCTCTAAGCAGATATTCCACCTCCAATTGTTGTTACATACTACTTATATCTGTCAGTATAAGTAGCATATACCACGATCAGAAGTTATATTCACGAGAAAATTTATTACAAATACATACCGAATTTGTATAGAATCAAGTAATTTTACGTAGTCCCAAAACTATTTTTTTAAAAACACTGTTGTATCACAAGATTAATGAAACTATTTACCAAAACAAATTTACTAATTAACTATGACGTTTACCTTTCAGGTGATGGTAAGTATATTATAGGAGCACAAAGCCGATAATTTGGTTCGAGTGGATCAGGTTCATCAAGAAATTTACAAAATAATTCATATAGTGGACCACTTAAACAACGATCTTTGAGAAATGAAATCTGTTCCAAACTAGAAGAAGAAAAAATTAGATGTAAAATGAAATCCAATGAAAATAATTGATTAGAATTTCACCAATTGAGCAAAGGCAAATTGAAATAAACTCTTCAGAATTTGAGTTAGTACTCATGAAAGCTAATACTACAAAAGTTTCAGAACTTCAGGACTGTTTGTATGGTGTAAACGGCAAAGTAATGCACCAGATGATGTACTATATGCTCAAACGTTTACAGTATAAACTTCGTCGAGATATGATATATGTTGGTTTCATAAGAGTTCGACACACGAACATTGATTCTATGAGTTAAACATTGTGATAACAGATTATATAGTTACACAGATACACAGATCTCAACAACTAACCAACAAAGACGAATACATGTACAGTACTTTCCTAGTCTCTCAAAAGGTTATAGAACTAGTTATGTTGTTCTAAGTTGGTTCGACAGTAAATTTTCATCAAGAGACAGGTGAGATACACTGAAAGCAGTACATCATATAGACAAGTATATATATATATATATATATATATATATATATAAACTCCAAAAAACTTTACTTGACATTTAAAAAAGTAGCAATTACCTGGATATGGTAGCATCTTTGAAAAAACTATTACGACTAGGTAAACGACAGTGTTGTTGATTTAATAATGTTGATGAAGCATCCAAACCCAGAATAGATGAATTAGCCATACTTTTGATAGTCAAATGATCAACATCGGATTTCATTTTGATGCTAGATTGTAAAGAATTCTTTTTGCTTGTCTGTTTTATCGATAGCGGTTTCGATGACTTTATCGACATTGTTAAAGAGTTATTTGAATCTGATTGGGAGCGCGATATAGCACTATCGTCAGTCTACAAATAAATAATTAGAATTTTATAATACGATAGATAATAAGGGTGAAGTAAAAAAAAACTATAAAGTGATGTTACCAGATCGGATCAAGAGTAAAGGGATGTGATTAAAATAACGGCGACGAAATTCAGTCAGTTTCTAACCAATCAGAACAGAGCCTTTTTAAATGGATGTTTTATGGGCAAAATAATATTACAGAGTAAAAACCGATGTTACATACCTAATAGAATTATTGATATTTCTAATGTGTTACTCTGCCTGTAAATCGAAAAGCAAAGTTATATGAATTTGTTCATATGGATACAGATTATTTGTCTGTTCTATTTGGGGGGGTATGCACATTGTTGTTGGTTAATTCAGGCATTCCAGGTAGGGATTAGGTGTTTACGGGATAAAATGCATATCGTAAACTGACATCGATTATAATCCAAAAAACGTTTTGTACCTATATAGATGAATTCATTGTACGCAAGAATCCCATAAACTCTGTCTAATTAATGCCCCCATGAAATATGGTGCCATAAGGTTTAATGTTTGAATTAATGGATAATATCAAATTGCCTGTTACATACAATCAGGAGAGAAGAAATCGAGTGTTTTATAAGTTTAACATCATTAAATTTACTTGTTCGTTGGTAGATACAACTCCCCCTAACCAACCATCTTTTCAAAAACGTTAATCAATTACTATCAACAGAAGGGATGATCATTTTATCTATTGGATTCGTGATATTTGGTGATGTAGACTACTTTTAAGACAACTTGTCCGACTATTAACAAAATAGTTCTTAATAGAACATACTTTAGGTAAATATAAGATATAAAGAGCTTCAAGTGACAATCAACAATTGCACAATTACTACTCAGAGAAACTGATTAAACTACAAAGAATCTGTCGGTGAAAACTTGAACGTTTCTCTATTTGACTAAAATGTGTTTTCATGAATTTCAACAATAACAACATGTAAATCCGGTTAAAGACGAATCCCAAATAGGGAGAAACGCGTGTCTTGGATTCCACTGCTAGCTACCCTATACCAATCTATGGTAAGTTGTGAAAAATTTACAATTCAGAGGATTATTCACAGGGAAACTGAGTAAAACATGTTTAAAATAAACAGATTTATAAATCGAATATGATGGGAACAAATTACCTCTTTTAATGCTGTATCAATTGGAACTTCATTGATTCTCATCTGTTGATTTTCAGTACTCTGTTCAGACGATTGATGAGTAGCTTCCTTAACCTGTATTGATTCTTGTGCATGTGTGGTGGATGATGTCGATAACGGCGATTCGTTGACAGTCTGAAGAGGACGACTGAATACGAAAAACAATTAAAAAATTGAAATAATAGTAGAATAAATATTTTTCAGTCCATGCAAATTAATTAATTAAGTGTATTACATAACAAGAGTAAAACATAAGACCAACTGAATTTTACCGTAACACAAAATTTTGTTAATTGATTTGAAGTAGATGACAGGAAAGCCGTTTGACTTGGGCTTTGTATTATTTGGAACAAATTAGCAAGGTATAACTATAAACCTGATGGAACCGATTCGTCAAGTGAGATTTGAACTTGTGTCATCTTCGTTGCAACCTAATCGATAGAATTCAGTCAGGATATGACTGAATGTCACTACTCAGTAGCATTCATAAAACCACATGGACTTCACCGGATCACACCACGCAAAACCGAATCGACCATATCTGAATCAACAAAAAGTTAAGAAGGACGATGGAGGACGTGACAACCAAGAGAGGAGCTGATATAGCATCAAGTCATCACTTGCTAGCCGCCAAGATGAAATCGAAACTCAAGATGCACTGGACAGCGGGGTGGACAATATCACAAAAGTTTAATACGGCTTTTCTTCAGGATACTGACAAACTCAACAAATTCAAGATAGCCCTCAGCAATAAGTTCCAGGCCTTTCATGATCTACTTAATGGAGAAGGAACTACTGTGAAGAGCAATTGGAAAGGGATAAAAGAGGCAATCACTTTAACATGTCATGAGGTCCTGGGCCACAAGAAGCACCATCACAAGGAATGGATCACTGTTGATACACTGGATTAGATTCAAGAAAGGAGAAACAAGAAGGCAGCAATCAATACCAGTTGAACAAGAGCAGAAAAAGCCAAGGCACAAGCTGAATACATAGAAGTAAACAAGCAAGTGAAGAGGAGCATTAGAACTGACAAACGTAAATATGTGTAAGATTTAGCAATGACGGCAGAAAAGGCTGCAAGAGGAAACATGAAGAACATGAAGAACAACGAAACAGGTGGAGAATACTTCAAAGGAGTCTTGAATCGACCATCCCCACTGAACCCACCCAACATCGAAGCAGTACCCATGGACCTCCCAATCTATGTTGACCCACCAACAATTGAAGAATTCAGTACGGCCATCAGACAAATCAAGAGTGGCAAAGCAGCAGGACCAAAAAATATTCCAGCAGAGGCACTGAAAGCAGACGTAGCAGTAACTGCAAAGATACTCTATATTCTCTTCTTTCGCCTGGTGACCGACTGGATCATGAAGACGTCAACATCTGAAGGGAAGCACGGGATACAGTGGACATCTAGGATGCAGCTGGACGATCTAGACTTCGCAGATGATCTGACCCTTCTATCCCAAACGCAACAACAAATGCAGGAGAAAACGACCATTGTAGCAGCAGCTTCAGCAGCAGTAGGTCTCAATATACACAAAGAAAAAAGAAAGATTCTCCGATACAACACAGCATGCACCAATCCAATCACAATTGAACGAGAACATTTGGAAGATGTAAAAACATTTACGTATCTGGGCAGCATCATTGATGAACAGGGTGGATGTGATACAGATGTGAAGGCGCGGATCGGAAAAGCAACAGCAGCATATTTATAACTAAAAACATCTGGAACTTAAAGCAACTGTCAACCAACACCAAGGTCAGGATTTTCAATACCAATGTCAACACAGTTCTGCTGTATGGGGTGGAAACTTGGAGAACTACGAAAGCCATCATCCAGAAAATACAGGTGTTTATTAACGGTTGTCTACGCAAAAAACTTCGGATCCGTTGGCCAGACACTATAGCAACAACCAACAGTGGGAGAGAACAAACAAGATCCCAGAAGAGGTAGAAATCAGGAAGAAGCGCTGGAAGTGGATAGGACACACATTGAAGAAAGCACCAAACTGCGTCATAAGACAAGCCCTCACATGGAATCCCCAAGGCCAAAGGAAAAGAGGAAGACCAAAGAACACATTACGCCGGGAAATGAAGATAGACATGAGAGAAATGAACAAGAGTTGGATAGAGCTAGAAAGCAAGGCCCAGGACAGAGTGGGTTGGAGAATGCTGGTCGGCGGCCTATGCTCCATTAGGAGTAACAGTCGTAAGTAAGTAGGTAAGTAAGGTTTACGGTGAGAACAAACTGTTTTTGAATAGACAAAGGGGGTTTGAATTTTCGTATGATCAGATCGTTCGAAATGTATTGCGCTAATATATCACATAATTCTGATAATTTTTGTCTTCTTATTACATTATCGAAATTTATAAGTAATTGTTTAATACTCGCTAGATGCTGACTAAAAGCCAGTGAATCACGAAATACGAAAAAAACTGACATGAGGGATGAACATTTCTTCGAAGTTAGAATTCTCGATTCTGGATGTTTTGCCAGCAATGATTCCTAAAGGATAATATAATATATCTGAACAGAATAGTCTACCCTAAAGTAGTGATAGTAATTAATTGAAATGTTTAGAGCAGACGTTATAGATGCAACTAACTATAAAACAAAACAACCGACAAACCTTGAAATTGAATCCAACATGTTCTCTGAATCCACAGCACCTGAAAATGATAACAGTGTGAAAATATCAATTATACAATAACTCTCTGGTTCACAGAAAAATAAACGAATATCAATTTATACGATTTGTTGATCTGTATCTTAGATGACTTATCTTTTCTATTACTACTAATAATCTTGCGACTACATTTACACCTCTGAAATTTACCCAGTTTCATAGCGCTGTCCTACTTGAATATGCCAACCTGGACTGATGTACACATGTGCCAGGTTCTATGTTGCATTCGACTGACTAACTTATTGGTTGAAAAATCATCATAAAACTTGAACGATATCTTAGGTTAAAATCTATCACATTTAATCAAATAAAATATAAACGATAATTTGATTAACAGAATATGGTTATTTCGTACAATAAAACAGTAAACGGTTGTTTTACAAGTTGAATAAAAGCATCGACAAGTCGAAGTATTTGTTCCAGATCACACAATACAGCTTCTGCTAAAGGAAATGGAGGTCCATAGGGATAGTTGTCAGCTAACTACGGTGTGCAATGCTCTTTATACCTAAACCAAATAATCGAACAAAGCACAATACTACTAGCCAAAAAACAACCGTTTACTTATTAGGACCGGTTAATTTGTAAGGACCCATTTTATTGGTGATTGTAGATTGTTATATTTAGAGACAATCAACATAATTGCTATAAAATGTCTAGGAAGTAACTAGCTATAAAGTCAGTCTGTTAGTCAGTAATATACAGCATACCATTGTCTAGTGTGTTGACTCAAATTACCGTGACCATGAAAAACGACAAACAGTGAACAGAAATTCAATGGAATGAAATATAACAAAACTGACTTCGATTTAGCATATGCTCAGCAACGGGTAATTGAATAGGTCTGGGCTTAGGAGGGCGACCACGACCTCGAGATACAGTTGGCTTACAGGCTTGTATTTCTAAAGCTCCGATGTGTTGTTGTTGTTGTTCAACCCAACTGATATTTGTAGTAGGAGATGGTAAACTTCCAGTTTCCGATCTAACATTAATAGTTTCTGGTGTTTCTGGTGCAGAATTGATAGCGACACCAGTATTATTCAAGTTTGCAGCAACTAAACTAGCAAATCCCATCGCTGCCGCCTTGAAAATTAATGGCAGGAAAAAAGGAAACAGTGAAATGAAGGTCAATATCAATCAAAAGAACAACTGTCTATTGAAATCATGAACCGATAAATGATAGACGACCATTGCAAACCCGGAAGAACTGAACAGCTGTTTCGTCCTAGCACGAGACTTTTCGACAGTGCGCATCCATGATTCCGCACACGGGACTCAAACGTATGAACCTCAATTACGTGCGCGAACAGTTAACAACTAAACCACTAGGCTGGGGTCCCACGGTATTAATGTTGGTTGGTAACTGCATCACACATGACACAGTTGAACTCCACTGGTGACGGCTTCTCGTCAGAACTTATAGGATTCTTTCTCGAAACTAGGCACTAGCGAGAACACGTTAACTATCAGTGTAGGGTTGTGGAGATTATTGAGTTTTAGTGATTTATTGGTAGTGATTTAAGTAACAACATACAAAATCGTCGATCAAAGTCGTTTGATTACAAAATAATTTTAAGAGTTTACATTGAGTAAAAATGTATGTATAGAATAGATTTTTCATTAAGAAATCAAACTACATTATACTGACAATCATATCAAATTTCAAATAGATCCTCTGAAATTTTGGCAAGAAAGTCAAAACCCATAGACAGATAGTCTGTATTTTCCCCAAAGCCAAGAAAACAATGTCTGTATTGATTGATAAATTTATGTTTTGTGTCAACTAAACTATAAACAATGACATGATGTGTAAGCATAATTGCAAGAAACGCCTGTTTCTAGTACAGATTGGATCTAAAACGCTAATTACTCGTTGAACACACTTGATGTGATATTCAGGATAAAGTCAATAAGAAAAATATCGACCTTAAATCATTATCATAACTGCTATCATTAGCTTAACCACAAATCCCTAACTCTAACTCCATTTTACTTACGGTCGTATTTAGTTCAACATGTGATGATACTTTAATTATCATGTCAAAACTGTTTAACCATTGTAATCTTACTATATTTTCACTGTAAATTAAACACTGTCTTAAGACTAGCTGATATGATGGTCAAGGTCATCACTATAGTACAGTTTTATCAACTAAGTTAATTATAAAATAACTGATCTGTATCGGATACACCGTGTTAGTGAAACGATTAGGATGGATAACTATTTATAATGCTTTGGTGACAATTACTCACATTCAATTTGATGCCACATCATCTATCGTTCGTTACACTTTCCTCCAAAGGATTGCTAACATTCGTTGGTAACAGCATGTTAGTACTGATGAGATTCAGCAATTGTGTTCTATCTCAGTAATGATAATAACATACTTGTAGAATCATTTTGAAACATCAGCCGGGGCCTTCGAATTAAAGGTCTAACCCACAACACAATGGAACAACGTCAGGAGATGCAATACCAAGGTAGTCGGCGACCAACGATTGGCTCATACGCCATTTGTTCCCTCAGGATACTGGAGTCCATGTTCATCATTGGTTTGGAATCAGAGTTTTCCAACTCCCCTAGGTGAATCCACCAACCCGGACATTCGCTTTTCGTCCTCTCAGTTTCTTAAACAACACCCGTCGTGTGAGGAGGTGAAGAGGACTTCCCTGACAGTGGTTGTATGCACGTGATTATGTGAGAGCATTTCGAGAGGGAGAGCTGACTCTTTCTACCCTCGGTCGTACCAGAATATTCGGGGGCAGAGAAGTAATCAGTTTACAACACAGTACCGGGGTATGAAAGAAAGTTATCTAGAAATGGCATATACTAGGTCATCAAGGCTCGCTAGTTGAATTTCTATATATATTATATAAATTAGTAGCTTGAGATGTGATTATCTATTGCTCAAAGTGGAAGTCGATGAAGCTTCAGTTGTAAATTTTTCGTAAAAGACAGATGAACTCTTTTAGTGTAAAGAATTTTTTCCAGTTGTATTTTATAAATGAAGTATTTCTCCGAGTATATATGATTGTCTTTTAACTACTTTTTTTTACTCATTTAATTGGGTTTTTTTTAGATAGTATTCACTTTCCATCATCTGTCACTTTACAATTTCGTTTTCTTACTGCATGGTGCATAATTATTTCTGTGTCCAGTTGTACAAATATTTTTGGGTTTAAATAAATGAATAAATTTTCAGTTATTCAAAATTTCCACATTAGGCAAGTGATTAATAATTAGACATAGAATTTTACTGTGTCACTACTGTTAGTGTTAACGGTGTCAACAACGAATGGCTAACAGATGATGATAATGGTATTCAATAAATTTACATCTTCATCTATCAGATACTGTAATTGTCATAAAGATCAACTAACTAAGGGAGGGCTGACAGTCATGAGCATTCACAATATGTGATAGAGATGATGAAAATTTTATGGTGAATACCTTAATAAGTAATGATTGCTTTCGATAATTTATTTGTTACTTGCACATACATGTACATATAATTGTATGTCATCATCGAACAGGTTTCAGTTAAGTTGACTTTTAATAGTTTAGCAGACGTTTTAAATCAAAAAACAATCATAAATGATGAATATGAGATTCCAAATTACCTCACGTTTTGGACGATCACAAGTTACTGAAACTGAGTCAGAAGATAAGCAGGGGGAAACTGGTATATTACTATTGCTTTCCAGTCTTTCTAAGCGTCTAGACGGACGACCTCGACCACGTTTTCTGTGTTCAGGTTTTGATAGAGATATATCAGCATTTCCAAGATGACAAACTCCAGTACTTGAGGCATTATCTGTTAAATCTATGACAGTTACAGACAAGTTGGGCTCATTGAAACCTGATTTACAGAAATCCCTCAAATTATCTTTATCCATAACAGAGGAAGCATGGTTTTCATTGGTGTTAGATGTATCTATTCCCACCTTGTAGCGTTTTCGAGGAGGGAGAGCTGAGCTACGTGAAGTAGAAGAACGTCTTACGTTGCTTGGAAGTGATGATGAGGCAGAAGTAGGTAAAATATCACAGGCATCAGAACCGTCAGTTTCTTGGAGACGTGCAGACTGTTCCACGAAGTTGGGATCTTCAAGAATTGGATCTGTACTTGTAAGAACCCCATGTTGTGTTTGTCGTTTACGCTTCGCCGAAGGAACAGGAAGAGATGAAACAGATGAAGAGGTGTCAAATTGTTGCCGAGAGTCGACAGTAACAGAACTTTGAGATACTGAATCATTAAGTATATATTGTTCCGGATGGCGATCCGAGTCACAAGGATGGGATTTAAACAACCGGTTAATTTTGTACTTCTTTTTACGACGACCCGGTGATTTTAAGGGAATGATATTCCGCTTAACTGTAGTTGACGACCGATATGCACCGTCATCAAGTTGTTCAAATGAAGCATGCTGTGATTCGTTTGGTTCTTGTTCTACAGAAATTGGAGAATATTGGGTAACACATGCAGATTCCATTTCGCTTGCATCTGAGGTGACTGAAAACGAACACTGAAATCGGAAAAATAGCAGTGTTTTGAAGACGGTCATAGCAAATGAATGTTAATCAGATAAAAAGTATGGAAGAAATCAATGAATTAGTTTGCTAAAACCTGTCTAATTATTTATATAACATGACCACAAATATATATATATATATATATATATATATATATATATATATATATATATGAGTGCTTAGTTTTTTAACTATTGAGCCACCGACGAATAAATTTTCAGCATATTTCATCAGGTTGGGTAAATATGGTCCATCACCACAAGCACCATTAGCAACAAATTCAACCTGAAACTTTAGGAATTACCTATAGAAGTTCGTCACTAGTCGACATATAATGGTTCTTATCAAGTATGAATCTAGAAAATTTTCCTTGTCATTTCAAAATATTCATGCATACAGTTAAAAAAATTACTTACTTTCTGATCACAATCCGAATGATTCAATCGAGATTCACCTGCACTATTCCCAGTAGACGGTTTATTGTCACCGGTTGTTTTATGAATGGTTGTTTTTTGAACTGAAATCATATTATCCGACGATACACTTGACACTTCAGTACTAAGTCCAGAATATGCGACTACTGAAGATGTTTCACCAGGTTTCACACGACAATTTATTTCATAATTAGTGTGTTCGGAAGCTTTAAATTAATTAATAGGGTCAAGTGATTAGTTGATAAATAAGTGGTCGGGAAGGCTACCACGTATAAGATACGACGGTTAAGTAAAGTACACAAACAATATTTTTTCAAAAATTTCAAATTAGCACAAGTTTAATGCCAAAAAAAATACAAACTTTAGACTTTTATCGGACAAAAGTCCTTCATTGAATAAACATAAAATTAGAGTTTCATAAACCTCACTGATACAAAATCATAGAAATCATACAAAACATGAAATTGCGAATATAGTAACTATCATTACGGGGTTGTGGAGACTGTTAAATATTTGAGATTATGAATCGATCGATGTTAGACCACCATTGAAAACCTGGATGCCGGCTCAGTGGTCTAGAGGTTAAGTGTTCACTCGCGAGACCGAAGGTCCTAGGACGCAATCACACGTGTGGGATTGTGGATGCGCACTGCCAAGGAGCCGTCTAGTGCTCCCATGTTTTCAATGGTGGTCTAACATCGATCGATTCATGATCTCAATGAAAAAATATACAATAACTGTCAAATTTATTAAAGTAACTATAAAGCATTTGATTTGTAAGGGTTTTTACTTTTTTCTTTGTTGATATTAAAGAATGGATATACGTATTTCCCAATAAACTAAAAAAATTTAAATAAAATCCAGGGATGGAAGAGAAGATTACTGGATTCCAGATTCAGTATTAACATGGGCATTAGGATAAATGTAGATTCAGTTGATCAGTTCTAAATAAAACGAAATGTACTCCTGGATTCTATTATCCGTCACAATTCAACTTTATTGATAAAATGATTAAACATAGATAACACTAGAAAAAAGGAACTTTTAAGAACCCACATTAAAATTATTCTAAGTGTACACTGTTGAGTTTGAAATAGGTGTGTGTGAATGTCATCATATCAAGTAACTCAATAAACGTGAATAAGATTTGACTTATCTAACGTACTTACGAAGTACAGATCCATACGATCAGCTTTGAGTCACGCTTTATGTATGAAAGCTAATGTTACTATCCGATTATTTAAACGGAAGTAAAAAGTGGAGTTCAAACGAGCGACTTAGTTAAACACTATAACTACTAAGCCACAACTCGTAAGATCTATCTGGGTGAGATAAAATATTTTACTCCTTAACTCAAGACAAATTAAAAAAAACACTGAAAATATTTTAATCATTCAAAAAAATCATCAACATAAAATATGTAGAGCGATAAATATGAGAATTCCAAATGAGTGTGTATGAATTTTCATATTACATATGATCAAGGAGATTGAGTACTAGACAGTTAATGAAATATAACACTCGAATAAAATATTTCATATTTAACCTATTTTAATGGATACTAAAATTTGATTAGGCAATAGATAAAAAACCTACCAGCAATTGTAGTTTGCATAGAAGCAGCATCAGATCCTACAGCTGAATGTGTAACATGGCTGGGAACACTGCCGCTAGTTTGCCGAGTTCTGCGAAGTTTAGGAGTTAGACCTTCTTCTTCTACAGAGGCTATAAAGTCAGTTACAACTGATAACGTCACCTCAGATGGATGAAGTGAGGCAGATCCTCCTTTAGCTTCGATGTCTTTTAATTCCTGTTCACGTTTGCGTTGTTCGGCCATTACAGCATCCCAAGTGACAAGACCACGAAGTTCACGAGAAACACGAGATTTCCCTGAAAACCACATGTAAACACTGATATGAGAATGTGAAATTTCTTGAAAATACGAAAAACAATTATTGTAACTTAAAATGATTACGCTACTAGTAAGTAGCTTATGTTTTGTTGTGATTTTTTTCTTACATTTCGTATTGCCTTTTTGAAAGCTTACTCACATCTCATTGATGACTGGAGCTATATTTTTGTGTATTTTAGTTCAAATGTTTACAAAGTTGTGACTACATTTAGCATAGATCTGAAATTTAAAAAATCACTATGTATATAATTGTAGCTACCTTTCTCGAGAATGTTGATGTTGATTAGATCCCAACAAAATTATTTCGTAATTCTTCCGTAAATCGAAAATTGTTAGAATCAATAGACTAGAACTATAGACAACTACCGTCCATTTCGCATCACGTAATTTAGGCTTTATAATTACATTTCTTACGTATAAACACCGAGAACCTTTTTGTTTTAATCCGACAGTAGATGACAAACAAATACAGCTTTAGAAATTTACTAGCGGTTCTAAACACAATAATGAAGTCACAAGGTCAGGGGAAGTCTACTATATTCAGCGCCTCCTATATCAGTCATCTGTGTGCTATGATGCTAATAAATTCAGAAACTAAACTCCAATACGAATTTTGGATGGGACAGGGCAATATATGATGAAGTTAAAGACGATACCCTACTGTTATCGATTACCATTTACTTGTAAAAGATTGTGACTGAAAACATTGAAAACCATAAGAGCGGAATAATACAGACAATAAGTCCTTAAATGTTTAGCATACTCTATGGAGGTAAAACGTAACATTTAAGGGCAGAGAACATTCTTAGCTCGCTAATACTTGAATACACATGTTACCGAAGTGTCACTCGTGTATGGTAGAACTATCGAGTGAACCTGATGTGTTTGGATGTGTGTTATTGAGTAAAAATAACAAATCTATTGATGTATCTGTGAGTCTTTCTCGACTGAGTTGACTGACACACGTAATACGTACGCCAACCGCCGCATAATTCCAGATCGAATGTTGGTAGCAGTGGGGATAGATTGTAAGAAAGCTAGGAATGGGCGAACCAAGACGTGGTATCAATATTTTGAAACCACTGATTGTCGGACTGAGATATATTAATAACTGCGGAATACCTGGTTAAGGTTCGCTTATTAACCACAGTAAGTACTTAGAGGAGCATGATGAAATGGATAGAAATCGGTGGCCGTAGCATATATATATATATATATATATATATATATATATATATATTTATTTATTTATTTATTTATTTATTTATTTATTTATATATATATATATATCTTTGTGTGTATTTGCACTATTATTGATACTCCTATAATCCAGACACTTGTCGTTCATTTTGATAACTCCATTTTGCTGTGCTGTTATAGCGCGACAACTTGCACTGCTGCACATTTGTGCCAGGTTCTAGGTTGATTATATTTGACTGAATAACTTGTTAAAAACTAAATGATAATCAACAAAAGTAATTACTATAATCCGACATGATTATTACAACTTCAGTTTTTACAAAACAGCAATTTGTATCGGTGACAGTTTCTAATCCAACTGACAGGAAGTAGAAACTAAAGTACACTTATAAATACAATAATAAAAACTAATTACTTTGCAAGAAAGTACTGATTGAAAACTACACAAGCTTACCTTTAGAAGTTGATTTAGGCATTCGAATCACATGTTGACTAGTTTCTACGTGTTGATTGTTAGTCGGATTTGATGATGAAACAAGACTAGTACGTGTCAAAGGGATTGATTCAGATGCACCGATTGTATTCGACTGTACAGATGAAAAGTTACGGCGAAATCCATGGTGTTTTTTACCTCTACCTCGACGTTTAGTTAAACTAGAAACCAATGTACGTGTGACAGTAGTACTTTCAACAAGTTTAAAATTCAACTTCGAAGCAGAATCTTCAGTAGGATTTGAAATAAGCTTTGAATCATTTTGATTTACATCTTCAACTGTCTTAATAAGAGGCAGCTGATCAGTATTTTTTATCTCAGAGGGTATTATTGTATGATGACTAACATTTTGTACATTAGAATTTAGTGGAAATGATAATTGTTTCGATTGATTATCGAAAGCGCTAGTAGAATAATCTTGTTTGTCTGATGTTAAATCTATAAGTTGAATAGGTTTTTTAGATAAGTGCTCAGTTTCTATAGGATTTTTTAATGTAGCCGCCAACAGACGACGCATATTCACCTAACAAAGAAAAATTAACAATTGATTAACATTAATACATAAATAGAATATGATAAATTATTACTTATTACTTGATGACATATAAATACTGACTTTAAGATTAAACTAAAAAGATTTATTACAATAAAAAAAAACAAGATAAAGATTAAACTAGATTGGTAGCAACAGTCTAAAGTAAATCCGTTTGCTGAAGAAAAATATAGTAATAATGGGGACCTCTGGTATTCATCAATCTTGATAATTATCAGGAGAAATATATGAGAAAAAAGAAAGTAACCTATATCAACATTTTTCCGTATTGTAGTAAAATTATATATATATCCCTTAGAAAAACTAACCATTTATCAGTCAATCATCATGTGCTTAACATTTGATCGATTTCTGATTGACCCAACGTACCAAAATGTTTCTAGCACCCACAGAAAACTATACATCACACACAAGATATTAGAACAAACACAAATGTCTAGTAGATGAAGATAATTTGTGAAATGGTTAAACAAACTAACAACTTACAACAAACCGATGCACCCGCGATTCAGGAAGTTGTTGAAGCCAAGGTGCACATAACTTCGACTTCACCCCCAAATTATCACCCTCATGATCTGATGTCACGGGACTTCTTAACGGGTTCGGTAGGATAAGAGGTACCCAGGATGCCGGAAGAACCGTCTGTTCTATGGAAGTGGTAGAAGCAGGAGAAGAAAGACCACCACGACGAGCACCCCGACCTCTCCGGCCGCCTCTGCGTGCACCGACACCTCTACGGGATGGTGTTTCAGATTGACGTGAGGCTAAAGTAGGAGATACAGCGACTGGGATTGGTCGACGAGGTACTGGTTTCGTGTCAATCACACAAGTATCTGTATCAAAAGATGTTTTCAAGAATAATAAGTAGAAAAATCGTAAATTCATAACAGACAGCAGTTAACACAGAATCGTCGAAACAACAATCAATTACAAAAAACAGTGTATTGGTGAAACCTTAATTAGACAAGTATTAGCCGGATAAACTGAAAACTACAGAATAGTAGCAGTTTTTATCGTAATCGCCGACTCTGGTGATCGACAATTTGCAGACGTTTAGAGCTAGTATCAGTCTAATTGTGTTTGTGATTTTGGGAACTGTGGTCAAGATCCTAGTGAGACAACAGATGAATATTTAACACAAGAATCTTTATTCCGTGACAACTTAATAACTACCCCGTTTTCCCCACGCATCCGATTGGTGACCTAAGAACAGACGCCAATAATTAGCAACATACAAAATGTGTTCGTGTACATAAAAATTATATATGTAAAAGATTGTTTTAGAGTTAAAACGCTTCCATGAAATAAATTAATAAAAAGACGGACCGTATTCTCACCAAAAATATCAGAAAAAAGAACAAACCTACTTTACATAATTAAATTACTAAAAGGCAGGGAGCTATAAAATCAAACATTATAAACACAATTATTAGTTAAATGTGAAACTTACCTTTTAAGTGAATAGCCAATTCATCAATAGCAGCGATCACTGTCTCGTCTACAGTTGATGGTTTCTTTTTAGTCTGCTTTAATAACGCTTTTAGCTCACGTTTATTGACTTTTCTTTGAGTATGCGATGCACTGTTGTAATCCACTGTGACTGAAACACACACACAAATACAAATTTAAGAACTGAGGCTTTTTGAGTAACCAACCATAAAGAGTAAAAATAATGAAGCACGAAACATCCGCATCATAAAAAAACAAACTATAAAAATAATGTAACTCAATTTCTTTGCTTCAGCTTAGTTGGAGAAATTAGATTCGAACTAGATAATTAGATGTTCTTACCTCATTCTAAAATTGTGTTGATTCAATGAGGCATGTCGTGTGAAAGTATAACTTCAGAGACCGTTTAGATTGTTTATTACATAATTAGTAAACTCTTAGATTGTCGTATTTCTAATGTGTCTATCTTTAAACTCCCCATTTAACGCATAAATTGTTATATCCTATTGTTCCAGATTTATCATTAATTATTTCCCTATTACTGCGAATTTGTATTATTTTTGACTGAGTTATGTATACATAATTTTATAATTGTGTTGTTATGTAGTCAGACGTTGAAAGTATATTAATATATGAGTTTTGAGTTGTGATCGAACAGTGTTTTGGAGAAATAATCTGCATTCTATCTTCGTCTTCTGACTGGACATTGAGGTTTGAAGGAGCTTGAGGACCAATAAACGTTACTTTCTCGGTTGTGAATGATTGGTTACTGTGTTATTTGATAAATCGGTCACTGGTCCTACTGGCAATACAGGCGAACTAATCAATAGTAAGACTAGAAAATATAACTGTTACTGTAATAACGACCCGACAACATGGGCCCCAATACGAGCCAAGTATCTAGTTCTCTTTTCGCCGTTGGATCGTGTATGTAATAGGATTTATCACTTTTCGCGTAAAACATGTTTATAATTTCATACTAAATAATATACCTTAAGAGAACATAACTCAAAGATTCTTTAAGCTATTATTATAAATTACGGTTTTTAACACATATAGAAAGAAACGTAGACTTGACATTCAAAAGAAAAATAAACCGCTATTTTGTACGCAATGAAGAACTTACCTTTGTCTGGTTGACGGGGTTCAACAAAGACTGAATTATGTGATCCGCTGAGATCTTTGGTTGATAAAGTTTCACGAGTAGCTAATGACCAAGATAAAAAAATGTGACGAAACATAATGCTAACAACCATTCGCTATTAATTAACATAAGAAATAACTTGAAATTTAAAATGAGATGGATTTTTTTAGTTTTAAAAATTGGATCTTTTGATAAGACGGTAACCAATATATAAGAACACATAAAGAATTTCGATAACAAATAATAGTCGATTTGTTGATTATATGGAACACAGTCAAAACACTCTTAAGTAGAGCAATTACCAATCAGTAAGTAAATCAGTAGTATAGGTCAGTGAAGACTATTCAATTTGTCTTTACATCATCCTAACTAGACTACCACCATTAAAGACCAGAAACCTATGAAGAACTGTTTCTTCTTAGTATAAAACTCTTTAGCAGTGTGTGTATCCAACGGTTGTCAAGAGAAATTCATTTCATAATTTAAACCATGAACTGAGTAATCTCCAGGTGAAAATTCCGAACTACTAACAGTGATCATGTGCTCATCAGTAACAAAACGAAACTTCGAGTACTAATGAGAATTAGTCACTGACCAATGAAGTTTAAGCATATTGCACATGAGACAGTTATTACCGATGAAAACAGGTGACTTTTCTTATTTATGTACTCGGGGGCCTTGAGACACAGTTCAGTTGTGTGATTCCGTTGAATATGGGGAGATAATTGAAAACTTGGAACCTTGAGGGCCATTCTCTAGTAGATTATTTTATAAGCTTACATGGTATATTTAATAAATAGTTCATTGTAATTTTTATACTATTCTAGTTGCAAACGATCATTTGAGTTTTTGGCTGTTAATGCCTTTTATCGTTCATGAATTACACCTAATTAATTGTTTAACTGTTAGTTATTTTAGTATCACAACTGTCCCAGTTTAGTGAAGACTGCAATTTCTCATCAATAATGCTTTGTGATCTTTAAATTGATGTATTTAACCATGCGTTTTCGAGTCTCATTAAGAGACAAACCGGGAGGTCGATGATAAAAGAATAAGCATGATCAAATAGGTGTTAGTGGTTATTGGTAATAATGATCGAGTGAATGTCATAACAAGTACTAATTCGCTGCTCGAAATGATGTAAATGAAACGAGGTCCAAACCTGAGACTTGCCAGTTGAAAGCCGACTGTTTTAGTTACTAAGCCAACCCATAGGTTTACAGTAGCAAAATATCACAGATCTACTGAAGTTATAAATACAAACCATTACATGCCAACTCAATAAGCGCTTATCATAAAACCTGAATGTCCTGAGGCTCTGTCCTTGGTGAATCATATAACACGGATGAAATAAACAACCACCGCTTCTTGGTTTTCAACAATTGTTTAGTAGAGCCCGTTCGTGATGTTAGTTACAAAGTATGAAAATTATTCATTACAATAGGTGATAAGACTCATTATCAAGCTACAGTCACATCAGTTGCTAAATTTTAGATTACGCATACTAACATGAGAAGAGGAGTGAATAGTTTGTATAATAACGGATAGCGGAAGTAAATAGTAAAACCAATAAGGACTGAAGAGACAACATAAAGAAAGAATATTAGAAAAGAATAAAACAATATGAAAATTGATAAACTACTTACATTCATCATCATAAGGAAGTTCATGTTCACTACTAAGTCCCATTGGAAGAGAGCCTTCACGATCCCTTGACTCATTACTATAGTCATCTGCAAAATTCTTGAATACGTTTTGATCAAGATCTCCGTTATGACCCTTTTTGTCTAGTACACGACGACCACGACTTTCCATTTGTGATAAGTTATCATCTCCAACAGAACTATTACGAAGACTACGGCTATGAACTGATTCACTGGAAGTATCATCTGGTGTTTTTGAAAGACCATGAGATGACTTAGATCCTGTATCTGGTGACCCACATTCAGGATGTAATTGAGAATCACCATAGTAAGACTTCAAACTGCCTTTTAAACCATAACGTCCAGAAGGTTTTGAAGTCTTTTGCTTTCCTTTACGCTTCATATCCTCGGGCAAAGTGGACACATTCAAGACGTCTGACTTAACTGCTCAGAATAAATTACGATCTTGACCGAGTCACTTTTGAGCTAAAAGACAGGTGAAAATAATAATACTGGTATTAGTGGCATAAATATTCCGGATTAACAAAAAATTAGGTTAGGAAACTGTCATAGACACGACGCTCAACTTTTTCTTACCAACCTATATACAATCCAAATCCAAGCTATGTAGGACTTTGACATCGTGAGACATTCATAAAAACGAAATGCAAAAAAACTTAAGACCTTGACGAGATAGCTTTAGTTACTTTTACAAATAAATATTTAGCATACTTAACCAGTTTAAATCGACGTGCACGTAGCCACACCGTTTCACAGAAAGCAAAAACTGACGCCTGATTGCTAAGAAAAAACTTTTGGAAAGTGTGATTAATTTTATCGGGTTATACAATATTGCTTGATTTCTTCATATTATCTTGGAATACTAAGCCTGAGAATTGTATAGTTTTAACGAGGATGAAAGGTGAGTTGGTCAAACTGTATCGATCAGTAGCTGATCTAGTATTGAGTGTTCATCAGGGATGCACTGATTAACCATCACGAGGAATACTCGTAGTTAGGATCCGTTTACTAGTAACAGCATCAAACAAATTTGAAAAATCTTGGGATCAAGATAGAAGCCCTGAAACCACCGTTTCAAGACAACAATACATAGTTCAAATAAACTGTCTCAGCATTTCGGAGAAAATTATAAAGTTAGATGTTTCTGTTTCCCATTGTATCAATCCTAGTCGAGTGGATGAGTAGGAATTCTGGTGGATGATTCTAAGAGAAGCTGGAATGATGACAAATAACTACATTTGACTAAAAACCACTTCAGAACGCTTTGTCTGATGTAGTTTCACACGTATAATGTCTCGTGAACTGGAAGCAGTGCATAGAATTGGATCCTCTAGTCCCACCAAAACAGGTCTCTATTCATCCTACTTACTGTACTTACACCGCGATAAAAAATATATGCTAGACCATCAACATTATCTGTTGGTATCAGATAATCAGCTAACAATGGGGGTGTGTGCGATGGGTGAGGACCAGGTATAGAAACATATGCAAACCAAAGAAAACCACTTTCGAAGTACAACAAAATTGAACTATAGATGAAAACAACCAATAAGATAACAGGAAAGGTGAGGGGAGAGGGTTATCCTTGTAAAAATTTATATTTCTTGACAAAGAAACTAGATAACTTGTTATCTTCCTAACAGTATCATTTAACAATTAAACAGTGATCACTGATGATAGTCATTTGAATCCTCACTGTACACATTTGACAATCACTAGTTTTCTTCAAAATAATGATCAGTAACCTTTTCTTCATGTTGGCTAGTTTTACGGTTGAAATTTTCGGTCTAACCATTATGAATCTGTGGATTAATAATTTAGACAATTGACTCAATCGTTAACAGACTACAACACAATTATATGAACGAAGAATTTTCCAGTGATTTATTAGAGCAGTTATATAGTGTGTTGTACGTTTAATCTTCACAGCAGTTGTTCCATACTATGCTATTAGATTGTAGTTAATTTTTAATATCAGTCAGTCAGCTATAACGTAGGACCAGACACATATATGCATCGGTCCAAGTTGCCATACTTCATTAGCACAAGATAAACACCAAATCCATAAAAGTAGTTACTTTAATGGTGGTAATATATATAAAAAAAGACTTCATATAAGGACATAGTACCGGAAGAAATAATTAGTTCGTAGAAATGAAGGTATAAAGCAACTTTAATCTCACGGTTCAAGGGAAGAAAAAGTGTGTATACACTTACGCCATTATGATAGATTCTGGGCCACGTCATCAAGGGCCTCCAACCATTGGTTACAATAGTCACGCGGACACTAACCAAGTAGTCTGCATCTACCAACATGGCTCAAACCAGAAGTTAGTGACTTCAAGGACTGATGCTACATAATCGTTTGGACACCCCTATCTTTTTTCCAACCATCCCTAACACTAGTCAGAATTGCGCATCGTGGTAATCGGTGTTCAGGCATACGTAGCATGTGGCCCAACCACCTTAGTCGATGAAGATTCACAACCTCATCAGCTGATTTACCATCATTCCCTAATACCCTGTACATCTGACCTCACTATTACTTACCCGGTGATCCCAGCAGACGCTGGCAATGTTTCTAAGACATGTCATCAAATACTAGTAGCTTACGAGCATCGTCTACTCTTAATAGCTACGTTTCGCAGTCTTAAAGTAGAACAGAACGAACGGCCGAGTAGTATACTCATCCTTTAATTGATAGACGGATATCTCGCCTTCGCCATACGCGACGTAAATTGGCAAAAGCCAAACGAGCTTTTCGAATCCGTGTTGAGATTTCGTCAGACACCAACCCATTAGGACTGACCAGACTTCCAAGATAAGTAAAGTTGTCGACGCGTTCGACTACTTTACCCCCTATCCTCAGTTCAGGTGTAGACCAGTCTTGAAGCAACAACTTGCATTTAAAGGGAGAGAAGCGCATCCCAAACATTCTGGCATTGTTGCTCAGTGCTATGAAAAGACTCTGCATTTTATTAGCATCTTCACCAAACAGGACTATGTCATCTGCGTTATCTACGTCTATAAGTGGACCTCCTGGAAGATCAATCCCTAAAAATTCAGTCGACGAAAACGTTATTTCCAGCAGTAGGTCGATGATGAAGTTAAACAAAAATGGAGATAGTTGACAGCTTTGCAGGACACCATGTGAGGTTGCGAAATCAGATGATAGCTCACCACAAGCTCTGACTAGATTGGTAGTGTTCGAGTAAAGAGCCTTCATAAAATATCCGTACTTTTGGTGTACACCATTCAATGACAGACACTGCTACAGGACATCTCGGTATACATAGTCAAATGCTGTTTTTTTAGTCAAAACTCAAATTTATGTACGCAACTTTGAGCCATGTATTTCTGTAACAGCCAGCGACGCTACCCAGCTGCCAGAACTAAACTACTTGAAATTATTATGATCGATATCCAAGTGCCAAGTACCTAGTTATCGATTTCTACGAACAGTATGTACGATTACATTCTTTTATATGATTTTATGGAGAGTAAACTCATGGTACAGTCTAGACATACAAATAGTTCCTATGCAGCTATGACCGCGCCACCATTAATTCAAACATTCAGAGGCAATTCACTGTTTTCTATACATAAAATTTAAGATACAACGCTGATTGGTTGAAGCCGTTTATGAAATACTCGCTCAATGAATAGAAATCAAGAGCCTGATGAACGAGTAACCAATTAAACTACGCAACTGGCTGACATTTTAAAAAATATACTTCAAAACTAAAACCGCTTGAAATCTCAGTATTACCGAGAATAGAATCAGCCGAATAAGTTTATCAGTAAAGGTTGCCATAGCAAGATAAATACTGGAATAGCAGTTAAGTAACCTGTAAAGAGTTATTACATAGGGATACTTGAAGAGGAATGAATGAAATCGTTGGAAGGGTTGTGTGGTAACTATGAAACCACGGCTCTAATGGGGAATGGATTTGTATCATTAGCGCCGATTCTGAATCATGTCAACAAACCTCTTACACAAGAAAAGACGTTATGCTGAACTCACAACTGAAACACCATGACACTACATTTTGGATATCAAAAGCGGATAGATGAACAGCGAATTTGTACCCTGAATCAACCATTTACAATTAGAGGTAGATCGGATAATTGACAGCACTTAGTTCTCCACGCCCTTTATCTCATTTAGAATAGCTGGCTATTGCTAAGTTTAAGAGACCCCAGTCAATTTGCCTCTTAAGACCCCGGACTTCAACTATTTAGAAAACAATATCAGTGGTTACTGCATTGAACTTCTGATAAATACTGACTTCATAACACATATTGATCCAATGTTGCATTGGGAATTATGGAAGATTCAAAGCCGCATACTCACCCTAAAAACGCCCTTCAATTACTTAAAGATGAGCTTTATAAACACAATGTGTAGAAATGAATTAGACACTCATCAGGTATGAACAGTCAGTCTGAAAACACCAACGAATATTAGCATCTCAAACATTAGAATCTAGCTACACAGTGCACTTGGTAGTAAGACCCACTGCCACATACGTTTTACTTATTTGAGAGGAATAATATACAGAAAAATGAGTGATTATGCTGCTTTAAGCCGCTGACGTATTATATGGCTGAACTTAGTTAGAATGTCATTCGAATTCGGTGAGTTGAAACAGAACAAACAAGACTTACTTGCTAGTATTACAAGGATGATGTAGATGACAAAACTAGTGGAATTTCCTTACCAATAAGTAGGAAAACCGATCCCGAAAACATACGACAAAATCGAAAGCGTGACCGTATCGAGCGCCAAAAAGTCAGATCACATAGTTCAAACAGCCTCCAGAACAATTACAGCTCTCAAAGTAGGCGATACTATGGTTATCTGAGATCCATATCCAGATATTTCTCTGTACTGCCATATTTTTCTCAAAAAACAGATTTTGAAAATTTAATGCCGCTTTCTGGTAAATGTAGTTTCGAGTTTAGTAAATCGGAAACAATATTGTTGGTTTAGTATCAATTCAGTTTCAGCTCGAAAAGGACAGGAGTCTGGGTGGCCTGTGTTAGTCATAGCAATTACGATCTCACAATCGACCCTCTGTGTACAGTTAACATAGACATTTTTGCAGTCAGTTTTTGTGATTATTTGCATTTTCTACTGGGCGTGCTTTTAATGACTGGTTCTATATCAAGCCCAAATTGGATATTCTAGCTTCTAGGATACAAATTTATCTATTTTTTCAAGCCACATTTTGACCTTACTGATTATTCGCTTACTAACCCCGAATGTTTATATGTGTGTTAATTGCTCACCCTATTCATCACGTGTCTGTAGTTTGTTTTTTTTCTGACTACAAATATCGAGTCATGCTTGATCGAATCGAGCTATCCCACTCAACTCCACCGAGCGTCACTTTGTCCCACGTCGCTTCGCAATCACAGCAGTAATTTGGAGTTATAATTTCTGTACTAAGAACTTATGTTCTTTAATGCAACTAATGTTCACTCATCACATTCGTACTCAGCAATCATCGTCTCCCATTTTTTCAATTTCAGTCCAAAATGAACTTCAGCCATTGCTTTGCTTAATCGATTATCCTTACTTCAATGTATGTGCACACATCAAAGATTCGATGTCGCATTGCTAGTTGATTAGTAACGATTAGCTTCATCTTATCTATTCGTTCACATGTGTAACTGCACGCTGCATCACTCATTATCCATAAATTTTTTTGATTACCGCAATTAATACTGTTTTCCCGTCGCACTGTATGTCAGAATATAGAGCTTGGACCTAGTCGCCAAATGATAAACTCTTGTTCGTTACATTCAAGTCAGACCCACTCACCGTCATCGATAATCGTATGTATTGGTACTATTATCATCGTTTCGTAAGAAGCAAGGCCGAGCACATATCCCTTAAACGACATAAACCACACCAGGCTTCACGTTCAAAACAGATTACGACTCCTCGTATTTCGTCTCTGCCGTCACTATTCTGCTTTTCTGGCCATTTCACTAATAAATATTTAACGATAACTTGGTGTGTCTGGTTATAACTTGGACGACGAACTACACTGACTTCGCATATTATGATTATTATCAATCACACTACAACAGTGAAAATCATCCATCCACGTACTTATCATTTTACAGCTTGATTGGTCTTATCCATGTGCTTTGTTTACAAAAGCATTACACTTTCGCATTGAACACACCTCTCGCGTGACTCTGCAGCATATCTGACATAGCATACGCGTATGTATGCGTAAACATGAGAAAGCACGCATAACAGGATATCGTACGGAGCTCCCACGAAAGACAAAACTGTAAAGTCAACAATAGAAGGAAACCTATAGACACATTCCAGTTGTCTAACAAAGCTGTTAGATATCGTCTTTTCATTCTGCCACTTATTGATTTGAGAACGAAAACCTCTTTATTCCAGTAGAAGAACAGGATATAGTGAAATACATAGTTTTAGATCCATGATGTAGACTTTACAGATGATCAAGCTGTCTTATTCCATAAACAGAAACAAATGCAGACGAGTTCAATTGGTTCAACACTGACCTCTGCTGCAGTAAGTCTTAATATTGAAAATGAACCGGTAAAATCCTAAATCATGACGCAGAGATCTTCATACAAACCACAATGTACGGAGATCTGAAAGCAACACAAACTTCTGTTTACATGAACAACATTCATAAAAAGGAGGACCAGATGCATATTCCAGGGAGCGAACTGACCAGGCAAAAGCAATATCACAACAACTGAAAAGCCTATTTAACTTAACGAACATGTCAACCAAAACCGAAGTCATGGTTTCAAACACTAGCATTGTAACAGATGTATTATACAGATCTGGAACTCGGAGAAATACTGATGCAGTAATCAAAATGTTCTAATATTTGTAAACAACTTTTCAATAAAGTCACTATTGATCCATTAGTCAAAGACCATCAGCAACAGTCTGGTCCAACAGACAATAAACTAGTTACCAGTTCAGTACGAAACCAGGAAAGAACTCTGTTAATAGATAAGGTACATTCTGCGAAAACCATTAAACCGCGTGACACGACGAAGCCGTTTCTGAAATACTTAAGGTTAAGAAAAAGAGGCAAACTAAGGAACAAGTGGCTCCAGTAATTCGATGCAAATATCAAGACTATGAATAATATTTGGCAAGAACTGGAAAGAAGGAACTACAGAACACTTTACTACGATAGTTATTAATGAACTTACTTATGTTGCTGGAATAATTATCTCAAAATCGTAACCTTGACTGGATGTAATGTGACAGTCTGATCTCTGATATTTTACGTTGAAGTTAGTAATACTTATGGTTTTCAATAAAAGAACAGCCATTCCTCAGATTCTTCAGAATTTCACATCTCGTATTTGGTATTAAGATAGCTCGTGAGGTAGCAGTTACATGGCATATTCTGCTTTCCATAACAGCATCACAAACAGTTTGAGGTCTTCTGATTTTCGACTCTTATCATGTAAGTTAGTTGAACCAAAAACGCAAACAAAAGTCTTTCTTAGGGGAAACAAGTTTAACAAAAATATGCTCTTGCTATCAGAAAGAACCATTCAATACAACTAACTACCATAAAAAAAATGAAACATGAATTTTCGGCTTTTTACTCCTCTCCTTCACGCCAGATATTCAGGCCTATATCCAGTACAAGCTGTTTGAGCAGAGATGTACACATCGATCAAAACTGCCAAAACACAGTAATTTGAAAGCGGTAGTGGAACTGTATTAATCTACAGACAAGTATGAATTTTCCGTAATATAATATTAATTTACTCTCAAATAGCAGTCTTTTACATGTGTTATGCCAGTTTACAAGCAACATCAAGTTGTTACAGAAGATACAGTCTTCACTGTGATGTGCCATTCAGTTTGTGTGATATTTTAAAAGGTACAATGATCAAAAAAGTATGGGGGATAATACTACTCACATATGAATGCAAATCATGTTATTAAGATCCGTATTGTCAAAATGAGAGTTGGTGCACTTTATGGAGGTTGCGGTGCGACGTGAAACGCATAGTCAGGGGTAAATCCACGTAAATTTGGGAGCTTCTGTAAACCATGACCTTATATCACGCTGGAACATCGGATACATTAGTGATGGTTCAGGATAAAGTCAACCGTTCCATTTGCGTTTTCGGTGACATATCTTGAGAGGGCTGAAAAAGAGACTGATAAGAAGGAATGACGAGAAGCATAATATACACTGTTCGTGCATATTGAAATTGAGTCATTTGTAGTGAAATAGTGAATGTATTATTAATTAGTCTAATTTTCTATTATTAAGGTACTTTTTAAGTAGATGTATTCTGGTAGGTAAAAGAAAACAAGTGTAAATATAGTATGAATGGTCAAAGAATTGTATAAGTGGACGTGGTTCAAAAAGAAGCTAAAAGTATAGGGTTATGTGAAGTTCTAAAATATGGTGCTGAAAATAGTATCCTGATACACAATTGGCTATCTCCCTTTTTTGTCGAATCTATTTCAGCTCTTTTTATTGTTAATGGTTTTATAGGGTATTGAGCAGGCTCCGTCTTTAGCAAATTGTCTAGTTTTGCTTGTAATAGGATTACACCGTAGAAAGTGAAACCAACTCAACGTCACAAACACGATTCAAGGAGGTATTTTGCATAACAAATTAGCATCAATACCATTGGTTCGTGACATCTCACTTGACTATAAGGAGCAGTAATTTAACAAAATATTCTGCTCTACAGACATTGGTGGATCAAAGTTATCTCCCCACCATCCTGTTTGCTGGTCAGTAATGCCATTCTCCCCCCCTTTTGTGATGTTAGGTTTGTGGTGAGCATGAATATTGCTTTGATTTAAGCTCACTGTTGGAATACATTGTCTCTACTAGTTCCATGCCACAAGCAAATCAGATGGATAAAGCTTTTGTACTATGGGTTGTATATCCATTATAGTATATCATACTGCTATGAAGATAACTAATGGTGAAATTAAAAAAACAGGTCAGATTATATGTGATTAAGAAATGGTGAGGATAGACAGCAAATCAAAGAAAATGCCAGGGGTTAGAATTGTAGAATTTTCGGAGTAAGAAGACAAAACATTGAGCGACTCACAAGACTTTAGGACATTATGAGCTTCTTATGATCGGCCATAGTTGATCAGCATCTATGAGGATAGTGAGTTATCTGTCTATTGGTAATAGAAAAAAGGACATGACAATTAGGAAGAATAATACAATGTTAACCACTGGAGTGATTCGGAATCTGAAAGGGAGAAGAAGGAGCATAAGGGCATAACCAACAATCAGTGAAAAACTGGAGAGGTTAAATTTTGTGTTCTATCATATATTCATATTAATGAAAATGAGGGTCTGTTATATTCATGATCTGTCTAGATATTAGGCGGTCCATAATTAATTGCATGATTGGTGGGCGGGAGGTCAGGGAATAGTTGGTGATGCTCTTCAGTGTCAAGTAATGGTGTTATTAGTGTTTTGATCTTGACGATAGTGTCACAGTTAGGGTTAGGTTTTGGCAACCTATTCCATAACAAACTATGTCATAATGTGAAAAACTCATAAGTCATTGGTCTTAAGTGTTTTACTGTAAGCAGTATATATGCGTTGTTTCTGAGTCTGTTCACCGGGTTATAGATCTCGGTTGGGCAGGAGGTTATAAATGTGAGTCCATATATTGCTTATATATACAAAATATATGAACCTTTTTCTGACCTAGGTTGTATGAAATTTGGTGTCTGCAAATCTGTGTTAAATAAAAATATAAAATATCAACTACAGT